GTCCTCGCCGAGGTAAAATGCACACGCCTGGGCGATGCCCAAGGCCAGGGCTTCTTCGATGCACGCCCCCAAGGGGGGGGGGGGGGATGGCGTGTGATGAGCAGGCCGCCGCCACATCGCACGCCATCTTCTCGAGAACAGATGCACACGCCTGGGCGAGGCCAAGGCCAGGGCTTCTTCGATGCACGCCCCCAAGGGGGCGGGAGGATGGCGTGTGCTGAGCAGGCCGGCGGCGGCACGTCGCACGCCATCTGCTCAGCGCCAGCTGCAGCGAGCATAGACGGGGAGGGGGTCGCGGAGCTCCCGGACGGGCCAGGCATCCCCTCCCATGGCATGGCCCTGAGAGGGCGGCCTCCTGCCCAGACCCCTCGTGAGAATCCGGAGCACACGCAAGAGGGCGACTCCAGGAGAGGGCCCGCTCCCTTTTCGGTACAGTCCGCTCGTGAAGATCCAGAGCACACGCAAGAGGGCGACTCCAGGAGAGGCCCCGCTCCCTTCCAGGTACAGTCCACCCCTCTCTCGGGCCACAGCTCGGGTCGTAGGCGGCCGTTCGGGACGGCTCGGGCACCCCGGGGAGCGCGCTCGGCGAGGCGCAGCTGCTGGAGCACACACCGAGGCCGCACAGCCTCCAACGCCCTCCGAGAACCTCTGGCGAAAGTTCACCCTTGCGCCTGTCGTGAGGGAGCGGGGTCCTGAGCGAAACCCTCCCAGACCAGCTTTTCATACTGAGTTGAAGTCGGGCGTGTCCCCCTACAGGGGGATTTGGGGCGAAGAATAAGAATACTCAAAACATACCCCCCCAAAATGCAAAAATAGTAAAACAAATCGTCCCCAGACTATTTTTCAACTATCCATTCAAATAAATCTGCCTGGTGGGTTTGCGGGGGCCCCCGGTCCCTGGAGCCCTCAGAGAACCCCGAAACGGCTCCGGAGGGCCCCCGGAAGGGCCCAAAACGGCACCGGAGCTCCCCAGAAAAGCCCCGAGACGGCCCATGGAGGCCCCGAGACGACCCAAGACGGCTTTCAGGCGGTCCACGATGTTCTCCAGACGGCTCCAGGAGCCCCAACCAGGCGGGTCCAAGGGGTCCCCGAACGGGATCCATCAAGCAAAAATCGTCACATTCCCTTCGGAAAATTTGCATTTTCAGCAAATTCGGCTCATTGGTCTTCGAAGCGTCCACAACGGCCCCAGAGGCCTCCAAGATCGCCCAAGACGGCCCCCAAGAGGGCCCAAAGATGGCTCCAGACGGGCCCAGGACGGCCCAAGAGGCGCCCAAGACGACCCAAGAGGACCCCACGAGAGGCCCAAGAGGGGCTCAGGACAGCCCACGATGGCGCCAAGACAGCCCGATAGGCGCCCAAGACGGCCCCAAGACAGCCCCAAGACGGCCCCAAGACGGCCCACGAGGCGCCCTGCCGGCCCAAGAGGGCTCCGAGAAGCCCCCAAGGAGCCCAAAACAGCCCTCATAGAGCTCCCAAACGGCTCCCAAGAAGCTTCAAAATTGCTTCCAACAGAGGGGGGCGGACGAGAGGCGAGAGGCCCCTCGCAGGCGCAAAAAAAATGTTTTGACGCTCCGGTGGCCCTTGGGGTGCCCCGCTGCGCTCCCTACTTTGCTGCGACGCCGTTCCGACGCCTCCGACGCGGCCCGACACGGCGCCGCGTTTGCTCGAACCCGCTCCCGCGTCCGCCGCGATCCCAGCGCGAATCTTCCAACGTTGCTCGGGCCTGGACTCCTGAATTTCTGCCTCTTGCGAAGCTCGAACACTTCGGCCCCCGTTTCGATGCATTGGGCGCCTTCGGTGGGGGAACAGCACTAGAACAAGCTTCAAGGGATCTACGGCAGTAGCTGGCAGCGTCGCACCACCCAGCGCGCGCCACCATGCTTCGATCCGCCCAACTTCGTGGATTTAATCCACGGGTCCACACTAGTTTTTGAATCTTCCCCCTGCAGAGGGACACGCCCGACTGCATACTGAGTCGTGTTGACACCCTCTGGGCCCGTCGAGGGCCCGAGGGGGCCAGGCAGGGCGCAACCAGACCCCGGGAGGGGGCCTTCTCGCGACCCGCTCGGCTCACGGCGACCGCGCGCAGCCGAGGAGGCCGGCCACGCGCAGGAGTGGCCCGAGGCCACCGTGGCCAACGCGGGTGCGCGGCAGGCGGATCGCTGCGTGCGATGCGACGGTGGCGGTCTTCGCGGCCCGGGCAGGGCGGCGGGGCCCGAGCTCACCGGTGTGGCTCGTCTTCGTCTGGCGGCCGTCAGCCCTCGCTCTGTCTTCGCTCCGCCGCGGCTGCAGAACGCAATCCCAACGAACACGGTCTGGGACCGAACCACCGCTTGGCTCGAGCCCTGCCGCCCCCCCCCCCCCCCCCCGCAAGCCAACGTTTCCATCCTGGGCCGTTGGTTCACAGCCCGCGGGGCCCGTGGAGGGCCCGGGGAGAGCGGTTCAGGCAACCGCGACACACGCGCGGGCCCCTCTGCCTCGGGGCCCGCCTGCCTCGGCGCCTCACGGCCCCAGCGCTCGCTGCAGTCCCCCTCCCCTTCGGGGGCGGGAGGGGTGCTGTCTGGGCGGCGTGCTCCCGTCCCGTCGGTGGACCCGCGGCGCCCCCACGGCGGCGTCCTCTGCCGCCCCCCCCCCCGGGCTGCGAAGAGAGGGGGAACTCGACCGAAACGAGAACGCCGCGCTCTCGGGCGGAGGAGGAGGGGGAGGAGGAGGAGCAGCAGGAGGAGGAGGAGGAGGAGGAGGAGGAGGAGGAGAGCCTGCCGGCGGGGCCGCGGGACCAGGAGGAGGGTGCGGGCTGCCGCTCCGCGGTTGCACCCGCGGGCCTGTCGACTCCACGCCTCGGCCGCCGGACTCGGGACCCGCTCGCCTCGCGGCGACTGCGGTGGTGTGAGCTGTTGCTTAACGCGTGTCGCGGCGACGGCCCCGGCGGGGGGAGGAGGAGGAGGAGGAGGAGGAGGAGGAGGAGGAGGAGGAGGAGGAGGAGGAGGAGGAGGAGGAGGAGGCCCTGCTCGCTGACAGCGCGCCGCCCTGCCTCGTGGGGCGGGAGCCCGGGCGGAGGCCCGAGCGCTGAGGCCCGAGGGCTGGGCCGCGCTCAGCGCGTCGACCCGAAGCCTGATGGGCCAGGGCCGGCGGCGCGACCTGGCCGCGCGCGGCCCTCGTCGACGCCCCCCTCTTGGACGCGCCGCCGGGGAGAGGAAGGAGGGAGGGAGGGAGGGAGGGAGGGAGGCCCCCCTGCGTCGGGAGGGAGGGGGGAGGATGGAGGGAGGGAGGGCTGATGATCCGGGAGCCCGAGGAGGGGGGGGAGAACGGAGAATCGGGTCAGAGCCGGGGGAGGTGGAGACGGGGAGAGACGGGGAAAAACTGGGGGGGGGGGGGGGGGGGGGGCGCCTATCAGGATGAGAGTTCGTTGTTCCCTGATAAGGGTGACGAGCCCTGCCATGGCCCACCGTCAAGGCGCCCCCCACCCAAGAGCACGGGACAGAGGAGGAGGGATGAGGGAGGAGGAAGAGGAGAGACAGACGTACGAGGGAGGAAGGAGGAGGGAGGAGGAAGGAGGGAGGGATGGAAGAGAAGGAGGAGGAGGAGGGAGGGAAGGGGGGGGAAGAGGAGGGAGGCGGGAGGGAGGAGGGAGGGAGGGAGGGAGGAAGATGAGGGAGACGGGAGGAGCAGGGAAGAGGGAGATAATAGGGAGGGAGGTAGGAGGAGGGAGGAAGGAGGGAGGGAGGGGGGAGGGAGGAAGGAAGGAGGGGGGTGTGGCCCTCGGGCCGCGGGGACATCCCGTCACGTGCGCACACCGCCTGTAGGTCTCCGGGCCGGCGCGACAGGGAGGCAGGACGGTCGTCCTCACTGGAGGGGGGAGGAGGGAGGGAGGGAGGAAGGAGGAAGGAGGGAGGCAGGGAGAGAGGGGAGGAGGGAGGGAGGAGGGGAGGAAGGGAGCATGGGGAGGGAGGGAGTGAGGGAGGGGGAGGGAAGAGGAGGGAGTGAGGGAGGGGGAGGGAAGAGGAGGGAGGGAGGGAGGGAGAAAGGGAGGGAGGAAAGGGAGGGGCCGTGTCCGTAGGCACATGAGCAATGGCACGAGCGTGCGCTAGACAGTATACTTGCGCACCGCTGCTGTCCAGGCTTCCGCTGGAAAAATGCCCAAATCTGAAAAGTTCCGACCAGAATTACGACAAATATGCTTAGCATGCTTAGACAATTATGTTGCCCACGCCTGCCGGGGCCTGCCCCTCTTCCGGCGGCCGGGCGCCTGCGCCAGCTCAGAGGATGAAGGCTGGAAGACAGCCATGCGGACAGGATGGTCGTCGGCCTTGCGTTCGATTTCCCCGAACAGGATCAACTGCCGTCGCAATGGGAGGGAGGGAGGGAGCAAACCCAGACATCCAGCTCTTTAAATTGTTTTGATGCGTGGGCCCCAGAGGTCCGGACCACTTCCCGACCGGCCGAATTGTTCGTCCCGGGCCGTTGTCTGACGCCCCCGAGGCCCGGCGAGGATCCCCGGAGGCCGAAAGCCGCCCAAAACCGCCCGCCCCGATTATGTTGGAGCGGAGGATCTCTGGGGCCTCTTGTGCCCCCTGCTCTCTCCCATCATCCTCCTGTTGCTGGCCCTCCAACACCAACCTGCGCCTCTCGCAGTGCCACGCACATGTACACACGCAAGCATTCCTCCTCCCTCCTCCTCCTCCTCCTCCTCCTCCTCCTCCCCCTCCTCTCCCCTCCTCCCCTCCCCCTCCTCCTCCTCCTCCCCCCCCTCCCCCTCCCCTCCCCTCCCCCCTCCCCCTCCCCCCCCTCCTCCTCCTCCTCCCCTCCTCCCTCCTCCTCCTCCTCCTCCTCCTCCTCCTCCTCCTCCTCCTCCTCCCCCTCCCCTTCCCCCCCCCCCTTCCCCTTCTCCTCCTCCTCCTCCTCCTCCTCCTCCTCCTCCTCCTGCTGCTGCTGCTGCTGCTGTTGCTGCTGCTGCTGCTGCTGCTGCCGACCGTGCGCGCAGCCGACCGGTGTGCGGCTCCTCCGCCAGCGCCGGCGCCAGCGCCCTCCACGCCTCGCCCGCCAGCGCCCGGGCCTGCACGGGGTCCTGCTCCTCGGCGGGGAAGGGGGGGGGGCGGCGGGCGCCGCGAAGGGGCGGGCCGGGCGACGTGGACGACGAGGACGAGGACGAGGACGAGGACGAGGACGAGGACGAGGACGAGGACGAGGACGAGGACGAGGACGAGGACGAGGACGACGACGACGACGACGACGACGACGACGACGACGACGACGACGACGACGACGAGGACGAGGGCGAGGGCGAGGCCGGGGCCGAGGGCGTGGCGGAAGCCCCCTCCCGAGGGGCCCCCGCGAAGGGGGGACGCGCGCCGTGGAGGGAAGGGGCGGCGGCCGCCCGAGTGTGGCCATGAGGGAAAGGGGGTCATCCTCCTCCTCGTCCTCCTCGTCCTCGTCATCCTTCTCCTCGTCATCCTTCTCCTCGTCCTCGTCCTAGTCCTCCTCCTCCTCCTCCTCCTCCTCTTCTTCTTCTTCTTCTGCTTCTTCTTCTGCTTCTGCTTCTGCGTCTGCTTCTGCTGCTGCTTCTGCTTCTGCTGCTGCTTCTGCTTCCTGCTTCTTCTTCTTCCTCCTCCTCCTCCTCCTCCTCCTCCTCCGCCTCCGCCTCCGCCTCCGCCTCCACCTCGCCTCCTCCGCCTCCGCCTCCGCCTCCCTCCCCTCCTCCGCCTCCGCCTCCTCCTCCTCCTCCTCCTCCTCCTCTCCTCACTCCTCCTCCTCCTCCCCCTCCTCCCCTCCTCCTCCTCCTCCCCCTCCCCCTCCTCCCTCCTCTCCTCCTCCTCCTCCTCCTCCTCCTCCTCCTCCTCTCCTCCTCCTCCTCCTCCTCCTCCTTCCTCCTCCTCTCCTCCTCCTCTCTCCTCCCCTCGTCCCTCCCTCGTCCCTCGTCTCCTTCTCCCCTCCTCCTCCTCCCTCCCTCCCTCCTCCCTCCTCCCTCCTCCTCTCCTCCTCCCTCCTCCTGCCTCCTCCTCCCTCCTCCTCTCTCCTCCTTCCTCCTCCTCCTCCCCCTCCTCCTCCCTTCTCCTCCTCCCTCCTCCTCCCTCCGCCTTCCCTCCTCCTCCCCTCCCTCCTCCCTCCTCCCTCCTCCCTCCTTCTCCTCCTCCTCCTCCTCCTCCTCCTCCTCCTCCTCCTCCTCCTCCTCCTCCTCCTCCTCCCCCTCGTCCTCGTCCCCCGCAAAAATGACGGCCGTGACGCCCTCTCGCGAATGGAAAACGGCCAATTCCTCAATCGACGCGTCAGGGTAGGATTTCTGTCCACCCCCGAGCCTTCTTTGGGGCCGCGTGGGGACCAGACACAACCGCGCAAGGCGCTACCATCGTACTGCGCTCGGCGATCGGGGGACTCCAGTGTGCCCGCTCAAAAGGTCACTCCGGCGAAGGGTCACTCTTACGTGAAGTCGAGAGGGGGGGTGGCGGCCAGGGGAAGAGTTGAAGGAAGAGGAGAGGGACGTGAAAGATGGGACATGGCCCAGCAATGATATCCCCCCTGTCCACACCCTCCAGACTTGGGCGGCGGGCGCTGCGTCGTCTTCGTCGACGTCTTCGTCTTCGGCGACGTCAGCGACGTGGTCCTCCTCTGCTCTTGACCATTTCCTGTAATGTACATCTGTTGGCGTCTATGTGAGCAGGTACGTGTGTGTATATATATATATAGATATACACATGTTCATTTATAGTTAGTACATGTTACTACATGTACTGGAAGATGCTGTATCTAAGAATTGCGGTCGCCCCCCCTCCCAGCCGACCCCGGCCAACCCGTCCAAGCAACGCAAAGCGTGCTAGAAGCGAGCAGGCACGCTCGGACTGAGCTCCCCGGTATCGGCGCTGGCAGCGTGATGACCATCGAGTGCGAGCGGGCACGCATAGCGTGAACTTCTTGGCAGAAGTGCTGGTCAAACGATGCGTGACAGAAGCAAGTTGGCACGCTCGAAAAGGCTGTCCTGCCGAACAACGCTGACCATGCGATGTGCGGTGCTCGCGAATGGGCACGACTGGAGTGCGTTTCCTGGCCCCAGCTCTGGCAACGGGATGATCATTCAAGGCGAGCGGGCACGCCTGGAAAGAGCTCATCGGCAAAATCTCTGGCAAAGAGGCTGGCCGTGCGAGATGTACCACAAACGAGCGGGCACGCGCGAGGACACACAAGAGGAGGACGACGTAGGACGCCGCCAGAGGAGGACAAAGAGGAGGATGACGGTGCCGAGGACCTTCGAGGAGAACCAGGACAGGTATTCGGAACTATCGCTTCCAATAGGAAAACTTCCGAATGCACTCCGCGACGGTGCAAACTTTCCCTGTATCGATACAACCCGCACCCAACCTGACGCCATGGGCCAAGGCCCCTAACCTGACGCCGCTCCCGCCGGCAGTGGGCCCGGCGCTTGTGAACGCAGCCTGACGCCAAGTGATTCACCTGACGCCACCCAGCCGGTACTCGCTTGGCGCGCGCCCACCGCTCGGGCGAGAGTATCGCTCCCAATCAGAATCGTGGCTGTCGCTCGAGCGGCAACGCCATGTCCGATAAAGGAGGTGCCCGGCGCTGAGGCGGGAGTCCCGTTCCCAATTAAGGATGCGGCCAGCGCGCAGGCGACGGTACCAGTCTTACACATAAATGTGGTCAGCGCACGGGCGAGATCAACAGTCCCAATGAGGGACGTGGCTGGCGCTCTAGCGGCAGCACCATAGCCAATTAGGGATGGGGTTGGCGCTGAGGCCAGAGTACCGTTCCCAATGATGGATGTGGCCAGCGCACCCAGCGCTGAGGCGAGAGTACCGTTCGCACTGAGGGATGTTGCCAACGCGCAAGCGACAACACCAATCCCAGACAGGGAGGTGGCCACTGTTCAGGCGAGTCGCGGCGAGAGTACCGTTCCCAATCAAACAAATGGCTGGCGCTCTAGCGGCAGCCCCAGAGCCAATGAGGGATGGGGTCGGCGCTGAGGCAAGAGTACCGTTCCCAATGGTGGATGTGGCCAGCGCACCCAGCGCTGAGGCGAGAGTACTGTTCGCAATGAGGGATGTTGCCAGCGCGCAAGCGACAGTACCGATGCCAGACACGGATGTGGCCGCCGTTCAGGCGAGAGTACCGTTCCCAATCAGAATTGTGGCTGGCACTCGAGCGGCAACGCCACATCTGATAAGGGAGGTGGCAGGCGCTGAGGCTGGAGTACCGTTCCGAATCAAGGATGCAGCCAGTCCGCAGGAGACAGCTTCACTCTTAGAGAGGGATGCGGACGGGAGCACCAGTCCTAATCAGGGATGTGGCTGGCGATCGAGCGGCAGCACCAGAGCCAATCAGGGATGGGGTCGGCGCTGAGGTAAGAGTACCGTTCCCAATGATGGATGTGGCCAGCGCACCCAGCGCTGAGGCGAGAGTACCGTTCGCACTGAGGGATGTTGCCAACGCGCAAGCGACAACACCAATCCCAGACAGGGAATAACCGCCGTTCAGGCGAGAGTACTGTCCCCAAACAAAATCGTGGCTGGCACTCGAGCGGCAACGCCACATCTGATAAGGGAGGTGGCAGGCGCTGGAGTACCGTTCCCAATTGAGGATGCGGCCAGCGCGCAGGCGACAGCATCACTCTTAGAGAGGGATGTGGCCAGCGCTCGGGCGGCAGCACCATAGCCAATTAGGTAGGGATGGGACCGGCGCCGATGCCAGAAGAGTACCGTTCCCAATGAAGGATGCGTCCAGCGCGCAGGCGACAGCGCAGATCCCAGACATGAATGCAACCTGCGCTCGGGCAGGGAAACAATCCCCAATCAAGTTTGTGGCTGGGTCGGAGCACGATTAGGGCAGGAGCGCGACTCCCCTCCCCCTCCTCCAGGCCGAGCCGAACCGACTCGCGGGCTGGCCGAGCCTGGGGCGGCCTCCTCCTTCTCCTCCTCCTCCTCCTCCTCCTCGTCCTCCCTCTCCTCCTCGTCCTCGTCCTCCTCCTCCTCCTCGTCCTCGACCTCGTCCTCGTTCTCGTCCTCGTCTTGCTCCTCCTCCTCCTCCTCCTCCTCCTCCTCCTCCTCCTCCTCCTCCTCCTCTTCCTCCTCCTCAACCGGCCGAGCCGAACCGGCGCGCGTGCCCGCGGCGCTTTTCATTCTGCCCTCCCACCCACTCCTCCTCCTCCTCCTTTTTCTCCTCCTCCTCCTCCCTCCTCCCGCTCTCCAGCCCCACCCCTCCCGCGCCCTCGTCATCGTCCTCCCTGCTCTCCTTTCTCATCTCTCCCTCTTGCCCCTCTCCTTGCTCGTCCGTTTGTCCTCTTCCTCCTCCTCCTCCTCCTCCTCCTCGTCCCGAAGAATTCGTCGGCCTGGTCCGGCGATTCCCACATAAGGCCCACATAGGCTCTACATGAGGCCTGGCGCTGCCCGACACCCCCTGGACCCTCCCCCGTCGCAATCCAGGATCTCGTCGTCGTCGTCCGCCGTCGCCGCCGCCGCCGTCGTCGTCGTCGTCGTCACCGCCGCCGGCGCCGCCGTCATCGTCGCCGCCGGCACCGCCACCGCCGCCGTCGTCGTCGTCGTCGTCGTCGTCGTCGTCGTCGTCGTCGTTGTCGTCGTCGCCGCCGCCGCCGTCATCGCCGCCGTCATGGTCGCCGCGTCGCCGCCGTCGTCTTCGTCGCCGTCGTCTTCGTCGTCCTCGTCCTCGTCGTCGCCGCCGTCGTCGCCGACGCCACCGTCGTCGTCGTCGCCGCCGCCGCCGCCGCCACCGCCGCCGCCGCCGCCGTCGTCGCCGCCGCCGCCGCCGCCGTCGTCTCTGCCGCAGCCGCCGTCGTCGCCGCCGTCGTCGTCGTCTTCGTCGTCGTCGATGTCGCCGCCGCCGTCGCCGCCGCCGCCGCCGTCGTCGTCGCAGTCGGCCGCCGCCGGCGTCGTCGTCGCCGACGCCACCGCCGTCGTCGTCGTCGTCGTCGCCGCCGCTGCAGCCGCCGTCGCCTTCGTCGTCGTCGCCGCCGTCGTCGTCGACGACGTCGTTGTCGTCGTCGCCGCCGTCGTCGCCGGCGCCGACGCCGCTTTCGTTGCCGTCGTCGTCGTAGTCGCCGGCGCCGCGCCGCCGTCGTCATCGTCGCCGCTATCGTCGTCGTCGTCCGTCGCCGTCGTCGTCGTCGCCAGTGGCGGCGTCGTCGTCGCCACCGCTGCCGCTGCCACCGTCGTCGTGATCGTCGCCGCCGCCGCCGCAGCCGTCGTCTCAATCGTCGTCGTCGTCGTCGTCGCCGCAGTCGCCGCCGTCGTCGGTGTCGTCGTAAGAGTCGACGCCACCGTCGCCGTCGTCGCCGCCGCCGCAATCGTCGTCGTCGTCGTCGTCGTCGTCGTCGTCACAGTCGTCGCCGCCGCCGCAATCATCGCCGCCCCCGTCGTCGTCGTCACCACCGCCGCCGCCGCCACCGTCGTCGTCGTCGTCGCCGCCGTCGCCGCCGCCGCCGTTACCGTAGTCGTCGACGCCGACGCCACCGTCGTCGTCGTCGTCGTCGTCGTCGCCGCCGCCGCCGCCGTCGTCGTCGCAGCCGCCGCGGTCGTCGCCGCCGCGGCCGCCACTGTCGTCGTCGTCGCCGTCGTCGCCGCCGCCACCGTCGTCGTCGTCGCCGCCGCCGCCGTTGTCGCCGCCGCCGCCGTCCGCCGTCGCCGCCGCCGCCGCCGTCGTCGTCGAAGCTGCCGCGGCCGTCGTCGCCTCCGTCGTCGTCATCGCCTTTTTCGTCGCCGTCGTCGTCGTCGCCGCCGTCGTCCCCGCCGCCGCCGACGCCGTCATCGACGTCGCGGCCGCCGCCGTCGTCGTCTTCGTCGTCGTCGCAGCCGCCGTTGTCGTCGCCGCTGCGGCTGCAGCCGCCGCTGTCGTCGTCAGTCGTTAGTTGTCAGCGTTGCCGGCGCCGCCGCCGCCGCCGTCGTCGCCTCCGCCTTCGTCGTCGTCGTCGCTGTCGTCGGTGTCGTCGCCGCCGCCGCCGCCGTCGTCGCCGCCGCCGCCGCCGTCGACGTCGTCGTCGTCGTCTTCGTCGTCCTCGCCGACGTCACCGTCGTCGTCGTCATCGTCATCGTCGTCGCTGCCGCCGCCGCCGCCGCCGTTGTCAGTGGTTGGTTGTCGTCGCCGCCGTCGTCGTCTTCTCCGCCGCCGTCGTCGTCGTCGTCGTCGTCGTCGTCGTCGTCGTCGTCGTCGCCACAACCGTCGTCGTCGCGGTCGCGGCCGCCGCCGTCGTCGTCGCTGCCGCCGACGCCGTCGTTACTCCTTAGTCTTCGTCGCAGTCATCGTCGCCGCCGCCACCGTCGTCGTCGTCGTCGCCTCCGCCGCCGTCGACGTCGTCGTCGCCGCCGCCGTCGTCGTCGTTTTCGTCACCATCGTCGTCGCCGCCGCCGCCGCCGTCGTCGTCGCCGCTACCGCCGCCGCCACCGTCGTTAGTCGTTACTCGTCGTCGTCATCGTCGTCGAGGTCGCCACCGTTAACTGTCGTCGTCGAAGTCGCCGCGCACGCCGTCGCCGCCGCCGCCGCCGTCGTCGTCGCTGCCGCCGACGCCGCCGTCGTTGGTCGTTGGTCGTCGTCGCCGTCGTCGTCGCAGCTGCCGCCGCCGCCGTCGTCGTCGTCGTCGTCGTCGTTGTCGGTGTCGTCGACATAAACGAAGCAACATCTGCCATCCTCGGGGACATGTGGGGCCAAACGCTTGGGATGCTGTGCTATTGCATCATTGTTCTGCCACTCGACTTCCTCAAATGCGGCCGGCGCTCAAGCGCGAGCTTCATTTTGAGAGTCCTCGCGCCGCAAGCGCTCACCAGAGCCCACCGGCACCGCCATTTCCCCGGCCAGGGTGCCGCCGGAGCTCACGGGCAGCGGTGCCGGCGTCAGGTTAGGTGCTCGGCGTCAGGTTAGGGGGGGTGTTGTAAGCGCGGCCAATCCCCCTGGCCAACCCACAATACCCCGACTAATCCTCCCGGCCAACCATCTCCGGCCAACCATCGTAGACACCACATATCAAACTATACCGAAATGTCGTCCTGCTCGTCGTCGTCCTCGTCGTAGACGCTGGGAACCTAGGACCGTGGCTTTGGAACGCTTCTGACACTTGTTCGGTGCCTGCAGAAGCCTCTGGGCGGCCTCTGGGGACCCCGCACAAATCCAGGGACCTCCAGGAACCTCCTTGTCCTCCTCTTCATCCTGGTCCTGGTCATTTTGCCCATTTTCCGCTACCCCCAAACACCCATAAACTTTCCGTCCTTCTCCATGTCCTCCTCCATCTCCTTCACCACCACCTGCTCCTCCTCATCCTCCTCCTCGTCCTCCTCCTTTTCTTACCTTCGTCCATTGATTCATCCACCTTTTCTCTTTATCCCCCTCCTCCTCCTCCTCTTCTTCCTCCTCCTCATCATCATCCTCCTCTGCTTAATTTTCTTCAACTTCCTCGTAATTGTCCTCCTCCTCCGCTTCAGCCTCCGCCTCCTCCTACTCCTCCCCCTACTCCACTTGCTCAGACTTTCTATGATCCTTCTCCTCCGCCTCCTCATACCACAGGACGGAAGATTTAAAACGTCATGCGGAGTCCTCATCTACAAATGGAACCCCCAGCAAGCCGCCAAATAACCCCCAATATACCTCCAAAATTCACCTATAGGCCTCCTATGATCCACAAGTGCAGGCGCGGTGCCAGCATGGGCTACAGGCCACTGGATTTGCAACCGCTATAGGACATCACAAACACCAAACTGTCTCCCTCCAACCTCCCCTTCGTCCTCCTCTCTCCCTCCTGCCTCCTGCCTCCTGCCACCCCACGCACGCCCCCGGCAACGACGCCCGCGCCGCCGCCGCCGCCGTCGTCGCCGTCCGCCGTTCGCCGCCGTCGCCGTCCGCCGCCCAAGCCCTCTGCTGTCGTCTCCGTGCGCCGTCCGCCCGCCGCCGTCGCAGTCCGCCGCCGCCGTCCTCAGTCGTTGCCGCCGCCGCCGCCAGTCATAATCGCCGCCGCCGCCGCCGCCACCACCGTCGCCGCCGCAGCCGCCGACGCCACCGTCGCCGTCGCCGTTTCCGCCGCCGTCGCCGTCGTTGTCCTCGTCGCCGTCGTCGCAGACAGGGCGCCGCCGAAGGGCGCGCTGCCAGTCGGTTCCTCCACGGCGCCGAGCACGTGCATCCACTGCGCCACACCCTTGCCGTCGGCGAGGCAGGCCACCTCGGGCGAGGCCCTCCCTCCCAGCCCCGCACCCGCCTCCCCGAAAGGAAGGGAGAGCCCGAACGCGAGCGCGAGCGTGAGCTCTGAAGCAGACCGCGGGCCTGCGCCCGAGGCCGAGCCCAAGCTCGAGCCAGGATCCGTTGGATCCTCCTCCTCATTCTCCTCTTCCTCCTCCTCCTCCTCCTCCTCCTCCTCCTGCTCCTGTTCCTCCTCCCCCTCCCCCTCCCCCTCCCCGTTTCCCGACCCCTCCTCTTTGACATTGGGCGAACTTCAGGAGCATTGCGTTCCCTCCTTTCCTCCTCCTCCTCCTCCTCCTCTTCCTCCTCCTCCTCCTCCTACTCCTAAGCATCATCATCATCATCATCATCATCATCATCATCATCATCATCATCATCATCATCATCATCATCATCATCATCATCATCATCATCATCATCATCACATCATCATCATCATCATCATCATCATCATCATCATCATCATCATCATCACCACCATCACCATCACCATCACCACCACCATCACCATCACCATCACCATCACCATCACCATCACCATCACCATCACATCATCATCATCATCATCATCATCATCATCATCATCATCATCATCATCATCATCATCATCATCATCATCATGATATTCATCATCATCATCATGATATTCATATTCGTATTCATGTTCATCATCATCATCGTCGTCATCATCATCACCATCATCATCATCAGCAGCATCACCATCAGCATCAGCATCGGCATCAGCATCATCATCACCATCATCATCAGCATCCGCATCATCATAAGTATCACCATCATCACCGTAATCAGCATCAGCAACATCATCATTACCAGTAGCATCGTCAGCATCATCATCATCATCATCATCATCATCATCATCAGCATCATCATCATCATCATCATCATCATCATACTCAACATCATCATCAAGACCATCATCAGTATCATCATCATCATCATCATCATCATCAGCATCATCAGCATCATCACCATCACCATCACCATCACCATCACCATCACCATCACCATCACCATCACCATCACCATCACCATCACCATCACCATCACCATCATCATCATCATCATCATCATCATCATCATCATCATCATCATCATCATCCCCTCGTCCTCGTCCTCCTCGTCGTCCTCCTCCCACATCCTCCTCGTCTTCCTCATCCCCCCATCCTCCTCGTCTTCCTCCTCCTCCTCCTCCTGGAGGGGGAACGGGCCCAGACATCCGAAGGATTGAACTGCGTCAATGCTGGCGTTGTTCCCCACATCTCGGCCTGCGGGGGGGGGAACGGGGGCCCATCAGACGTGGATCCCGGACGAAGAAGGAATCCCCGGGGGGAAGGGGTCGGTAACTCTGGGCCCGCCCTGCTCTTGCTGGGTAAAGAAGCGGGGCGGGATTGGAAAATGATCGGGGGGCTCTCCCTCCCGCTCCTGGACCTTCTCCTCCTCCTCCTCTTCCTCCTCTTCCTCCTCCTGTTCATATTGTGCTGATGTGTACTTCGTCTTACGAGTCATTTTTTCATCATCATCAGCAGTATCATCATCATCATCATCATCATCATCATCATCATCATCATCATCATCATCAGCAGCATCAGCATCAGCATCAGCATCAGCATTAGCATCATCACCATCAGCATCATCAACATCACCATGATCATCAGCATCAGCATCATCACCGTAATCAGCATCAGCAGCATCATAATCATCACCAATATCGTCGTCATCAACATCATCATCATCATACTCAACATCATCAATATCATCATCATCACCATCATCATCATCATCATCATCATCATCAACACCATCATCAGCATCAACATCAGCATCATCAGCATCACCAACATCAGTATTAGTATTAGTCGTGTTTGTTTTAATCGGAGGTTGGGGGGTGAGATCGCAGTGGAACGGAGACCCTCAACCGGGAAATCGTTTCGTTTCGTTCGTGTCGTGCTTGCGGGAGAGGCGAAGTTGCGTGGGCGCGCGAGAGGAATGATCCCGCCGCTGCTAGGGCGAAATCAAAACAAATGATGCTCCTCCGCCTTCCGTCCGTCCGGCGGTGGCCCGCCTTGTCCCGTGGTGTCCCGTGGTGTCCGCCGTTGCTAGGGCGAAGTCAAGACAAATGATTCTCCCCCGCCCGTCCGTCCGTCCGTCCGGCGGTGGCTCGCGGTGTGCCGCGGTGTCCCGTGGTGTCCCGTTGAGTGAGATCGATAATGAGATCGATACTGAGATCGATGTGGTGCCCCGAGATGTCCCGTGGTGTCCAAAAAAGTGAGATCGATAGTGAGATCGATGTGGTGCCACGAGGTGCCCCGTGGTGTCCCCAAAAATGAGATCGATACTGAGATCGATGTGTGCCCCGAGGTGCCCCGTGGTGTCCCAAAAAATGAGATCGATAGTGAGATCGATAGTGAGATCGATGTTGTGCCCCGAGGTGTGTCCCGTAGTGTCCTACGGTGTCCTGTTGAGTGAGATCGATAGTGAGATCGATAGTGAGGCCGATAATGAGATCGAGAGGTGTCCCGCGGTGTCCCGTGGTGTCCCGTTGAGTGAGATCGATAGTGAGATCGACAACTGTCCCGTGGTGTCCCGTGGTGCCCCGTTGGGTGAGATCGATAGTGAGATCGATTGAGTCAGATGTTAGTTCCCCCCCCTCTCCCCCCCCAGCCCCCACAACCTTCTTATCACACGAAGGGTGGTCGTATAGGTATTACTACTAGTAGTATTACAATTACTAGTGCTACAAGTACAAATGTATTATTCGCATTCTCAATAACACTATCCTTCTCAGTCTTATTAGTCGAATTATTAGAATTCGTCGTACTGTTCTTCGTAGTAACAATAGTATTATTAATGCTAGTATTATTATTCGTATTAGTATTATTATTAGTAGTAGTAGTAATCTTATTCGTCGTCCTCATCCTTCTTCTCATTCTCCTCCTCCTCCTCCTCCCCTCCTCCTCCTTCCTCCTCTTCCTCCTCCTCCTCCTTCTCCTCCTGCGCATTCTCGTCCCACCCAGTTTCTCGACTTCCTCCATGATCCTCCCCTCCCTCCTCCCCCTTCCCCTCCACCACCGCCTCCTCCTGACGCTGTCCCACCTCCTCCTCCTCCACCTCCTCCTCCTCCTCCTCTCTCCCCCATCTCCCTTCCCTTCCTCGTCCTCTTTCCCCTCCTCCTCCTCCTCCTCCTCCTCCTCATCATCCTCCTTCTCCTCTTCCTCCATCGCATTCTCTTCCCCCCCCTGCTCGACTTCCTCCACCCTCCTCTCCTCGCTCCTCCCCTTTCCCCTCCGCCTCCATTTCCACCTCCTCCTCTTCCTCCTCCTCCTCCACCACCATCCTCTCCTCCTCCTCCTCCTTCTCCTCCTCTTCTCTTGCCCCTCCTCCTCCTCCTCCTCCTCCTCCTCCTCTTCTCCTCCTTCTCCTCCTCCGTTTTCTCATCCCCCCCTCGCTCCCTCCGCTGCTGCTACCCCCCCCGTAGCAGAAGAAGGGGGGCCGCCTCCGCTGCAGGAGGAGGACAAAAAAGGGAGAGGGCGGGAACCGAGGGGGAGGCCAAGGAAACGGAGGGAACACGACGGAGGAGCAAGGAGTGGGAGACGCAACAGGAAAACCAATGTATAAGACGCCAATCACAAATGAGTCCAAGCCGCCCAAACCTACACTACATCAGGGCCCCCCCCGGCTAAACATCAGTCAAGACCCTCGGCTGCCATCTGAGCGGCTCCCCGCGCCACAACCGCCTGAGGCGGGTCTGCTGAGCGCTGAGGGTCTTGGGGATCCTTGAAGGGCCTCGGCGCAAGGCTGCATGAGCGCCAAGACCCGAGCGAGGCCGAGGAGCGGGCTCCTCCTCCTCCTCCTCCTCCTCCTCCTCCTCCTCCTCCTCCGCGTCCTCCTCCTCCTTCTCCTCTTCCTCCTCCTCCTCCTCCTTCTCCTCTTTCCCCTCCTCCTCCTCCTCCTCCTCCTCCTCCTTCTCCTCCTCCTCCTCCTTCTTCTCCTCCTCCTCCTCCTCCCCCCCTCCCCCTTCCCACCTCCTCCTCCTCTTCCTCCTCTCACTCCTCCTCCTCCTCCTCTTCCTCCACCTCCTCCTCCTCCTTCTCCTCCTCCTCCTCCTCCTCAATGGTGTTCCTCGCTCTGCTTTTCCCGCCGAGTGCCTCCTCCTCCTCCTCTTCCTCGTATACTGCTTCCCCTCAATCGCAATATCTATTCTCAACCTCCTCCTCCTCCTCAATCTGGCTTCACCTGATGGTCCTCTCGTCTTCCGTTCTCGTGCTCCTCACTATTCCTCCTAATCCTCGTCTTCCCTCTCCCCAGTCCCTTCTCCTCCCCCCCTCGTCTCCTGCCTTCCCGAGCCGTGTCGGGAGCCTCTTGAGCCCTCTTGAGGCCACCTGGGGCCGCCCCGGAGCCGCTGTTGTCGTTGATGGCGGCAGGCTGCCCAAAGCCTGAGACTCGCCCTCGGCCGACGGCCGAGAAAGCAGAATTGGGGTCAAATGAAAAGAAACCGCCCCAGAGCAGCCTCGTGGCCACCCTGGGGCGGAATCAACTGTGAAAGCCCCGGCAGGGCAGCTCGCAGCCGAGGAGGAGACTGCGGCCACCGCACCGTCAGGCCACCGTCCGCGCGCAGGGGGGGGGAAACCCCCACAAGTCAGGAATATCAGCGTCAACGCCTCGGGGCCGTCCGTATCCACCGCCTGGGGAGCCGACGCACTGGGACCCCAATTGGGAGGTGGATATATGGACATATGTCGGCCCAAGGGGGGTCCGACTATACACATTTATATATATATATATACATGGTTAACTATATATGTTATGTTTTTTTGTTCTCTCTCTATATATATGTGTGTATATATATATGTGTGTATACATATATATGTGTTTACACATACGTATATATAGATGTGTGTACGTGTCTATATGTATGTATCCAGATGCATATACACATCCATATCCATATCCATATCCATACCCACCGCCCGCTCGAGATCCTGGAAAATCAATCCCCAGGCGGTGGTTACGGATGACGTCCCGCCTGGGAGCGCGACTCGCACGTGAGCCGAAGGCCCCAGGGGCGGCCACGCCACGGCTGCGGCCCCACCGAGCAAATGGCTGCCACGGGGGGCCCTTCCGCGTCCCGCCACTCGCGGCCTGGGAGGAGGCCGATCAGGAAGAATGGAGAGAAGATGGGCCTGGAAATTCTGGGCCAGGAGGGGAGAACGGGAGCATATAATATACCGATACCACTGCCCTTTCCCGTCCCGCTTTCGCCTTTTTGGGCCTTCCTGGGAGGCCCTCGTCGCCATGGCTGGATTCGCCTCGAAACTCTGGTCATAACGCACCCCGGGAGAGGTCTGGGGAGTAGCAGTATCGGAATCTTTTGGCCTCCCCATTTTCAGCGGCGCGCCCAGGGGGGAAGGCAGAGGGGGCGGGCCTTCCCATCAGGCTGCGAAGGCCTGCGGCCTTCTGGGAAGCTTTCTCTTAGCCTTCTCCGAAGACGCAGGCGGCCTCTCAGAAGGCCAGAGGGCTTCTGAGAAGCCCCACAGCCTTCTGCAGAGGCCTGCCCCCCCTCTCTCTCTCCCCCCCCCCCCTGGGCGCGCCACCGAGTGGAAGTCTCGGGGGATGCGGCAGGGGCGAGGCAAGCGGGATGCACGGGCAGCGAGATACATGGGACAAGGACGCACGAGAAGGATGCAAGGGCCTTGGAAGGCCACGTCGACACTTTGCGAGCGGGGCGCAGCCAGCGAAAGCGGCCAAGGATGGGCCGAAGGGGAAGGATACAAGGGTAACCTTGGAAAGTCGCTCATCCTTACTATGCGGGTTCACTGTAGAAAAAGAGACAGTAGAAAAAGAGAACAACAATATTGAAAGGAGGACGGGCAATACAAAAGGGGGGAGCAGCAGAGGAAGGACCAAGCCTGGGCGAGGAGTGGGAGGGGGACAGAGAGGGGAGCGAGAAAGACGAGGGCGGCGGCGGAAACGGCGACGACGCCGGCGACGCCCACGAAGGCGACGCCGACGGCGCCGGACGACGACGACGCGAGGGAACGCCTGGCTGGCCAGGAAAGCGCGCTTCAGCGCCGCGAAGAGGTCGCCCGCGTCCACGGACACGCCTCCCGCGCCCGCGCGGCGCAGGGCTCGGGCGGCCGGAGCCCTGGGGCGGGGAGGCCTCGGGGGAGCCCCGAGGAGGGGCTCTCGCGCTTGGCCCTCTCTGGGGCCGTCTCCTGTTGAAGCTCCTCCTCCGACTTGCCCCCCCCCTCCCCCTCTTCGCCCTCCTGGTCTCAGGCTCCTGGCAAATTCCCAAGACTCCCGATCTAGTCTTTTAGCACGGGGAGCCTTGAACGCGCCTCCTCCTCCTCCTCCTCCTCCTCCTCCTCCTCCTCCTCCTCCGCCGTTCCCTTCCGCCGAGTGCCAGCCGCGGCCACGGTGGCCCCGAAGACGAGGCCAACGGCAGGGGCGGCGGCAGAAAGCGCCACGAGGGGCCAGGAACAGCCGGGGACGGGGCCGCGCACCCAGGAGTTGGCTTGGCGCTGCCGGGCCATGGATGCAGCGCCACGTGCGCCCCTGCCCCCGAGCGGTGGCACGAGGGCACTGCACTCTGCCTCGGCCCTGTCCTTCCCCACCGCCTGCGCCCGGTCGCGCGCCCGCTGGCGATGGCGCCACGCCGCCCTGCCGTGCCGCCCGCCCGCCACCACGGCCAAAGGAAGCACCGCCCGAGGGCACGGATGCTCAGCACAGCGCTGCCTCTCGCCGCCGCGCCGTCGCGGCGGGCGGCAGCGGCCAGGCTCGCCTCCTCTCCCGTCGCCCATCTTTCCTTCGTCATCCCCCGTCTTGCCCATCCTCTTCCCCAGACAGGCGAGGTCTTGATTTTTCGTTGGGCGTCGCTTGGGGGGGGGGGGGGGGGCGATACATGGGGGGCGAGAAAGGTGCACTTCTCGGGCCCTCAAGGCCCCCTTTTGGGCCCTAGAAAATCCCTCGCTGCCCCCTCCCCCCCCAACAAAAATTGATCCCCCCCCCCTTACGCGACACAATTTTGATCCCGGAGATCCCGACCCCTTCCCAGGTCCTGCTTCTCATCCCAGATAACTTATTTGACGGCCCTGAGGCCCGGCGGCAAGGGGGCCGAGAGCGACGGCACGCCTTTCCGCTCTGATTTCTGTTCGAGACGCTGCATTCCCTCCCTCCCTCCCTCCCCTTCCCTCCCATCCTCCTCCCTCCCTCCCTCCTCCCTGACTCCCTCCCCCCTTCCCCCTCTCCGTTCGGGCGGCGGGGTGGGGGAGGGGGGCGGGGGGGCCGTTCATGAGGCGCGCCACCGCGGTCTCGGTGCGCCACTGGGAGAAGCGCGTCGCCTCTCCGCAGGTCGCGCGGGGCGGCGAAGGGGGGAGGGGGGGAGCTCCCGGACCCGGCGGCGACGAGAGGGGCGAATAGCCCAGGGGCGGGCACTACACGCATTCGCCCGGGAGCCTTTTAGAAGATGTAGACTGGGCTATTCGCCCCTATCGCTGGGCTATTCGTCCCTATCGTCTCTCCCCTGGGCTATTTCGTCCCTATCGTCTCTCTCTCCTGGGCTGTGTGTACACGTGCTGCTCTCCCCTGGGCTGTGCGCCCCTGTCGTCGCCTCTGACAGGCCCTCGCCTCCCCTCCTCGGCGCCCGCCCCTCCCCCTCCTCTCCCCGATCGATGCACCGGGATGCCTCGCAGGAGGCGCGCGAGAAGCAGGAAGGGAGCAGGAGCACGACGACGACGACGGCGGCGGCGCCGCCGCCGCGGCGGCGTGGGGGGGGGGGCCGCGCGGCGCCTCGTCCACCTCCAGCAGCCACCGGCGCCGGTGCAGCAGAACTCGGGAGGGTCGCCGCTCGAGGGTCGAGGGTCGCCGTTCGAGGATCGAGGATCGAGGCTCGAGGATCGAGGATCGAGGTTCGAGGATCCAGGGTCGAGGTTCGAGGGTCGAGGTTCGAGGATCGAGGATCGAGGATCCAGGGTCGAGGTTCGAGGATCGAGGATCGAGGTTCGAGGATCCAGGGTCGAGGATCGAGGATCGAGGTTCGAGGATCGAGGATCGAGGATCGAGGATCGAGGATCCAGGGTCGAGGTTCGAGGGTCGAGGATCGAGAGGGTTCGAGGGGGCTCGAGGCTGCTGTGGGCTTCGTGGGGGGTCGCTGGAGGCCTCCAGGGGGTTCCGCCCGCTAAGTACGCGTCGAGAGTGGCCGTGGGCAATGAGGGCCATCTGGTGCGCTGCTCTACTGGCGAGGTCAGAGGAGAGGCGCGCAAGCCGCTGCTGCGCCGCGATCGGCAATCGGTGGACCCCAGTGGGCCCGCACAGAAGGCTTCTTCGGCGAAGGACCACTCCGTGCAGTCGATGGCCGACTCTGGTCTTCGGTCGAAAACTCGGGTTTCTGGCGGCCAGTCCGGGCGATCCGGGCAACCCCGGGGCGCTCTCGGCGAGGCGCCGCTGCTGGAACTGGGTAGTCCAAGCCAATCTGGCGCCAATCTGGCAGGCCCAATCTGGCAAACGGGGGCAATCTGGCGAGGGAGCCAACGCGAATCCAGTCTGGCGAATAACCCAAATCATCCAGCTTGGCCAGGCCAGATTGGCCCGTGGGGCCCAATCCAATCTGACAGTCTGGCCTTCGACTACCCAGTGGAACACATTCCGAGGCAGGAGAGCCTCCAGAGGCGCCCGAAGACGTGCAGCGCAGGCCGCTCGCCCGCCGCCGACCACCCGACCCCCCCCCGCCGCCCCGCCCCGCCCCCCCCCGCCCCCGCGTGCCAGGGCCGAGCGGGCCTCCAGAGGATCCTCGGGGAGGGAGGAGACAACAGCGGCACCGTCCTCCTCACCCTCCGCGTGCGGGGGAGGGGCCCGCGGAAGAGGAGGGGGGGAGGGAGGGAGGGAGGGAGGGAGGGAGGGAGGGAGGGAGGGGAGGAGGAGGGACGACGACGAAGTCGCGGAGGAGAGGGGAGGAAAGGCGGAGGAGGATGAGGCGTGGGAGGGGGGGACGAATACCAGGAAGACGGGCAGCAGCAGCGGCAGCACAAGGCAGAGAGCGAACGGCAAGGGGCACGTCGACCATGCCCGGCGCTTCGGGGGCGCAGCGGTGCCATCGAGGCAAGCCCCTGCCCGAGCGATCGCCACGCAGTCCGCACGAACGCCCATCGGCTGCGGCGTCGCGCGCGGCGCGGACATGCGCGGTGCGCGGGCGCCGTGCGCGGGCACTTGCGCGCCGAAGGCCGTAGCCGTCGACAAGCAAGTCTTCGGGGATCTACGGACCCGGGCCAATCCAAACCCGGGTCAGTCGGGATCTGCAAGCTCCTGCCAAGATTGCGCAAGACTCGGCAAGATCCTGCGCGCAAGCCCGGGTCAGTGCAACCCTGGCTTTGCAGGATCCGGCAAGGTCCAGCGCTCTGGCTGACCCCCGTTTGCATTGACCTCCGTCTCGAGGCTCCCGAAGTCTGTAGGGTTGGATGCGGCCGGGGGGTCTGAACTGGTCGGGGCCCCAGAACATCAGTCAGGAGGGGGGGACGAGGCCAAATTCGCTCAAAATCGGTCCTCAGGCCCCTCCCCCTCCTCTAGGGCTCCCAACTTCGCGCTTCGCGCTGCGCGAAGCGCGAATAACTTCGCGCTCTCGCGCCGCCCTCCCAAAGGGAGAATAGGAGGACGAGGAGGAGGGGGAGAAGGAACGAGGACCGCGAAGCGCGAAGCGCGAATAACTTCGCGCCCTCGAGGGAGCCCTTGCTCCTGGGGTCCATCTGGTGCAGTCGTTCGCCCCCGATCCGTTCGTGACAGCCCCAGGGGGCCCGAAAACGACCCCCCGAGCCCGCACAAGGCAACACCTTCCCGCCCCGGCACCTCGAACCTGCCCGCACTTCCTGCTGGACGGAACCAGCGCTGGGCCACCTCGGACCACCAGACGGCTCCAAGCAGCGACCTCCTGCGGACGCGAGCAGCGGCCAACCGAGGGCCCTAGGCGCACTAGCCTTCTGAGCGAGGTGTTCGACGGGGGCGTGACGCCGCGAGGTGGCGACGGCAACGGCGTGACTCCCCGCCTGTGGAACCCACGCTCCTTCTGATCGAGGGTTCTCTCGTGTCTAGGCCAGGGGCGGGGGGGTACCTACTCGAAGTGCCTTTTCAGGTATCCTTCTCCCCCTCCCCTCGGTGAGGACCATCATAGGCCTTACCAGTGAGGACCGCCATGAGGCCTCACACTCGTCGCAGCTTCCATTATAGGGGCTGCGGGGGTAGGACCAAATCCCCACGAACCTGTCACAGTACGTGCAGTGCCAGGGGTGGCGGCCCGTCTTCCCATCCCATCCCACCATCATAGGAGGATGCGAAGTCCCTGTAGGCGGGAAGGTGTGGGCACGAACGTGCATCATAACCAAAGGAGGCATCATAGCATCATCATTCTCTAGGTTGATTCACTCACGGATCCAATTCCATTTTCGTTTCCATTGGCTTCATTCCATGCTTAGCATGCTTTCCCCTGATGGACCGCGAACGGGACTCAGTCCCCTGCTGGTCGTCTGGTGCCGCCAGCAGAAGCATCAGAAGTGCCATCATAGGCACTTTGCACCCAATCCAGGCCATTACAAAGGCTCGTTTTGGGAAGAATGGCCATCTTAGTAGATATTCGCATTCAGTCCTTCATCGAATTCACGGCAAATAACTGCTTCGCGACGGACAACTTCGAGGAGACCAGTCAGAAAATGGAGACGGACGTCTATAACTTCGAATAGGCGTGACTGCCCAGTCCCTACGCGGCGGCGGCGGCGGCGGATGCGGAGGCGACGACCAAGACAACGACTGCCACCGCGACGGCGACGGCGGCGGTGATGGCGACGACAAAGACGACGACGGAGCGGCCGACGCCGCCGCCGACGTCGTCGTGGTCGTTGTCTTGGTCGTCATCGTCCTCGCCCTATTCTCCTCCTCAATTATTCCCCCTTCTCCTCCTCCTGCTCTCTTTCCTCCCTCGTCGTCTTCATCCCTCCGCCCTCCGTCCTCCTCCTCCTCCTCAAAACCTCGTCCTCCTCCTACCCGGGACCTCTTCAAGGGTGCGCGTTGACGAGTATTGCAAGATCCGAGGCCGGCTAGACCACCAGATCCTTGATTCTGGCAAAGTAAGGACAGAGCAAGTGCGCGCATGACACGATATTACGAGTGTAAAATAAAGGGCGGATCGAAAGGGTGAGCCAGGCGAGGTCCACGAAACGAAAGTGTGAAATATGTGCAACGCAGAAGGACGGGTACGAAACAATTGTGGAAAAACGAACGCGCATCCCAAACACAAACAAGTAAGACACGAAACATATGAACAATCTGAAACAATACGAAGTGTGACAATATCTCTCACACACTCCCCTCACACTTAGGAGTTCTGAACTTCTGTACTTCGTACTTCTGCACGGCACATTTTTCGTACTCGCACTTCGGCGCGGTACTGTTTGTATTGGACTTGGGATACTTTGCATTCCGCTGGGGGGAGGTCTGCTGTAGCTGGGCGGAATCTCTCAAGCCGAGTATCCTGGAGGTGAACCCAGACGTGGCGACGAGGTGTAAAGCGCCCCCCTCCTCTCTCCTCCCTCCTCTTCCTCCTCCTCCTCCTTCTCCTCCTCCTCCTCCTCCTCCCATCCTCCCCCACGCTCCTCCTCCTCCTCCGCCGCCTCCTCCTCCGCCTCCTCCTCCTCCCCCCTCGCAGCTCCATCGAACGTCCTACTCCATCCTCAATCCTCATCACCTACTCACTCTTCCTTCAACCTCCCCCATCCCTGGTCCTCCACCCCAAATCCTCACCCCCCCCTACTCCATCCACCCCCTCCTCCCTCCCCATCCCCTCCTCCCTCCGCCTCCTCCCTCCCTCCTCCCTCCTCCTCTGCTCCTCTTCTCCGCGCCCTTGCCTGCGGCGCCCTCCGCGCCCTCGCCGAGCACCTCCGCGTAATGCAGGCGCGCGCCCGCGCCCGCGCCCGTGGCCGCCAGCGCCTGGGGCCCCCGCGTGGGAGTTCCTCCTCCCTCCTCCTCCCTCCTCCTCCTCCTCCTCCTCCTACTCCTCCTCCTCCCTCCTCCTCCTCCTCCTCCTCCTCCTCCTCCTCCTCCTCCTCCTCCCTCCTCCTCCCTCCTCCTCCTCCTCCTCTCCTCCTCCTCCCCCTCCTCCTCCTCCTCCTCCTCCTCCTCCTCCTCCTCCCTCCTCCTCCTCCTCCTCCTCCTCGGCTGACGGGCCATCGGCCGGTGAGGCGCCGAGGAGGAGGGTGGTCGAGGAGAGGGACCGAGGCAGGTCGAGGAAGAGGAGGAGGAGGAGGAGGAGGAGGAGGATCGAAGATGATGCTCGAGGGACCGCGGAGGATCAAGGAGGAGGATGAGGAGGAGGAGGAAGAAGAGGAGGATCGCGGAGGGTAGAATAACGAGGAGGACGAGGATGGAGAAGCACCGAAGATCAAGGTGGAGCGAAGAGGGTCGGGAAGGATCGAGGAGGACCGGCGAGGATCATCGAGGATCGATGCCCCTCCTCCTCCTCCTCCTCCTCCTCCTCCTCCTCCTCCTCCTTCTCGAATATCCTCGCTCTGGGTCGTCGACCAGAGGAGTTGATGACTTCGTCTGAGCATTTTCTCTGGGCGCAGGGCTCAGGGTGGAATCCATGCGGGCATTGGAACCTCGTCGCCTACAAGTCTGGTGACTTGCAGGATTAATCGCATATTGTGGGTCGGCATGCGTACGCGCAACAAAAACTCCCTTCGTGATCTCCACACGACACCGTAATCCGAGACTCTGGCGGAAGATTTGGGCACCCCTGGAACGCACCTGGAGATGCGAAGTTGCATAGACAGCATCACGAGGGCAAAACCCCGACGCGAAGATGCCAGGGCCTCTGGCATCCGCCGATCTGATTTTGTTCAATGCGCGGCCCCAAAAGTCCCGACACAATTCTCGCCCCCGATCAATTTTTGCTGGCCACGACAACGGGCCTGGAGGCCGAAATCTGGGGAACATGCTCCGGGAATCAACAAACAATTGCACGGGAGACATGAGAACCTTTCACGCAGCCAAGACAGGGACTGCATCGGACAGATGTAGATCGGGGATCTCTGAGATCCGGCGGTTCTGGAGGATGTCTTGGGCGCCGCGGCCTTCTACGCTCCGAGAGCGTTCTGGAACGCCCTGGAAAAATATACACTTGTAAGACCGGTGGATCTGCATCCTTGCTGCACTTTTTTGGTCTGCGGCCGCTTGCAGCGCTCGAGCGACGGAGGAGTGCTTCCGAGGCGAATTGGGACACTGAAGCAGGTACGGCGGAAGAAGGAGGGGGCGCGGATCCTTGCCGCACACAAGGGGGGGTCATGGCAGTCCAAGCGAGGCTGTTTAAGGGCAGACGTCTATTCCGCTTGGGCTGCGAACTTGCTTCGGCAAGCATCTTACAGCGAGGCCAAGAGCTGCTTGGGCAACGCTTCCCACATCGCAGTACGTTGAGTTCCTCGACTGGCAGATCCGACAAGGCTCTCGGCTGGTAACCTAACATAAAATGCGCGACCGTCCCAGGCTACCCAATGCTCACAAACTGAGACCCGTTCATGCACGGAGGGAGCAGGAGGACGGAGGATGGAGGATGAGGGTGAATGCGAGAACGAAGACGACGCCGACAAAGACGACGACCACCTCGACCACGACGACAATCAAGCCGACGCCGACGCCGACGCCGACGCCGACGACGCCGCCGAGAAGGACGCCCCACGACGACGCCGACGCCGACGACAACGACGACGCCCCACGACGACGAGTACGCCGACGCCGACGCCCCACGACGACGCCGACGCCGATGCCGACGCCGACGACGACGACGCCCGACGCCGACGCCCGACGACGACGACGACGACGACGACGACGACGACGACGACGACGACGACGACACGACGACGACGACGACGACGACGACGACGCCCGACGACGGCGGCGGCCGCGGGCGGCGGCCGCGGTCGGCGGGCGGCAACGGCGGCGCCTCGCGGCACAGCGCCGCCGCGATGGGCGCGGCCTGCGCCCCGAGCTCGCGGCCCGTGGCGCGCAGGCGCCCTCGCCAGAGGGCCGGCGACGGCTCCCGAGGCTCGACGACGTTGGAGGTCCGACGACGTGCGAGGTTCGACGAAATTCGACGACGTTCGACGAAATTCGACGAAATTCGACGACGTTGGAGGCTCGACGACGTTCGAGGTTCGACGACGTTCGACGACGCTCGAGGTTCGACGACGCTCAGAGGGCCCGGGGGTGGGCTCGACGGCGCTCGAGGCTCCAGGTGCGAGGCTCGAGGATCGAGGTTCGCGCCTTCTCTAGGATTTTGGGCGCCCTGGGGCGCCCTTGTGGCCACGGCTGGGTCCGCCTCGAGGCTCTGGTCAGAAGGCACCCTGGGAGAGGTCGAGGGACCAACTCTTGACCCCTGGCCAGGGGCAACGATGAAGGGACCCAGGGACACGCAAAATTAATAGACAGAAGCCCCAGGATTCCCGCATGTTTTCTAAACTTTACCGGGTTTGACTTCCGCCCCACTCCCCATACTCTCCCATATGTTCCTGGCAGTCGATGAATAATCGTGTCTGTGTGTTTTATCCCCTCCTGAAGCGATCAGGGCCTCCCGACAATGTTCGGGGATGGACAGACCCCCCTTTAGTAAAACGTGGTTTAGTGAAAGCGACCTGAAGCCCAAACCTGGCGGGCGCAAGCCTGGAAAATAACGGCCACGGCTCCCTCTCGAGAACCGAAAACGGACAAGTCACTAATCGACGTGTCACTGTTGGGGGTTCTGTCCACCCCCGAAATGTTCGCGCGGTGTCGTAGGTTCTCTGCGGCCTGCCAGCAACGGGGTGCTCTCCGGCAGCTGCGCCTCGCCGCGGGGCGTCCCCGAGGTGTCCCGGGTCGCCCCGCACGGCCGCCCGGGAGAGCCGAGCCAGTGACCCGCAAGCCAAAGGGCCATGTAGGGCGGGGGAGCGCCCCGGGGGCCCCGAAGAGGCGGGAAGCTTGCAGGGCCCTTCCCTCCAGGACCCGCCTCCTTCATGCTCGAGGGCAGCGAGAGGGGGGGATTAGGCTCAGAGGGGGAGACGTCGACCTGGTATCCGCGGATACTGCGCCGAGAAATCGGCGATGCGCCCCCGACAGCGAATCCGTGCCATCGGCCCCGCGTCGGCGACACGTGGGCGACTGGGTATCTGTGGGTGCACCACTGAGCCCAGGGCTCGAGCTAAACAATGTTTTCCACTGCAGTTTTGTTTTCGTTTTCCCTCGCTCTGTCGTCGTTCCACGTTTGCTGCGAAACGGAACCAAAACGAAAACGCTCCACGAAATCCCCGAACACCGTTTAGCTCAAGCCCTGACCGAGCCTATTCTCCCCTGACGTTGCCCCTGACAAGAGGAAGGGGAGGTCAGCGCATCGTGGCACGAGGCATGTGTGCGCACGGGGGGGGGGCAGGAGGCGTGCTGACAGAAGGAAATAACAAGACAAGACAAGACAAGACGAGACAAGCCCATCCTGCATGAAGCACCTACGCGGTTGGGCGTCGCTTCATGTGGGGGCGATAAGTGGAGGGGGAAGGTGCCCTTTTCGGGCCCTGAAGGCCCCCTTTGGGGCCATGAAGGGGCCATGAAGGGACACTTTAGGGGCCTGCAAGGGCCCCTTTCCTGCAATCCTCGCTGCCCCCCGCCCCCCACACTTATCGCCCTCCCCTTGCGCGGCCTCCTCCGCGGGTGCAGGGCGCCAGCATGGTCACTCATGGGTCGAGGTCGGTGTTGCGCGTGGTCGTGCGGCGCGAAGGATGGTGGGCCACGAGATCTAGTGGACCCACGGCCACGATACCCACCCACCCTTTCATCATTGGCTACACGCAAGGGTGACCCTAGGCAAGAGTGACCTTTGGTGTCGGCTTCAATGCCGATCGTGGCAGGCGATGCGACAGCGGCGGCCTGCGTGCTTGGATGTGACCCCCCCCCCCCCCCCGCAACCTCCGAAAGCCGCACGCCAAAGGCCACTCCAGCGAAGGGCCACTATTTCTGTGTAGCCGACCTCGGTGGCAACTGATGGGAGCCTCTCATGCCACATGGCTGGCTCTTGCGAATCGACGCCAATCGATGCTACATCGACGCTAATCGCCGCTAAAAAAACGCCAATCGACGCTAAGTCAGCGCACTTATATCGATTACCAGACGCTAACGTACGCGAGTGCACCCGAAAGACGGAACTATGAGGGTGTACAAGGCTCCCATGACATGCGACCGAAGCCGACTATCGTGTTGGGCCAATTTTCCACTACAAGTCCTCCTCCTCCGCCTCCGCCTCCTCCTCCGCCTCCGCCTCTGCCTCCGCCTCCTCCTCCTCCTCCTCCTTCTCCTTCTCCTCCCCCTCCTCCTCCTCCTCCTCCTCCTCCTCCTCCTCCTCCTCCTCCTCCTTCGCTGCCGACCCCCTCAGTGGACGGTCGGCGTCGGCCTCCAGGCCCTTCTCTCCTCTGCGCCCTTCTAGGGCCAGTCGGCTCTCCAGGTTGCCTCCTCGTGGGAGCACTCACCTCCCCCCAACTCGGGAGGAGCTGGGAGTCAGGCAGTGGCCGCCAGCCACCGCTGCCTGTGCTCTGTGGGCTGTGAGGGCGTTGAGTCCTCCTCTCCTACCTGTGGCAGTGGTGGTGGAACATTGGACCACTAATTATGCAGTCCTCAGCCCCCCTCACAGACGCTGGCGACTTTCTGGAGGGCCCGCCCGCCCTGCCCGACCCGGCCGCACTTCAGGGTCCGCCCACCCGATCGGGCCCGCCCGCCCGCTTCGCTGGGCAATTCGACGATGCACCATACCTCAGAGTGTCCCGACCCCTCGTTGGGGCCCGCTCGCCCGTTAGAACGCCCGCTTCGGTTCGGGGGCTCCGGCGAGGGTCGCCGTCGTCGAGCGACGCCGCCGTCGAGCGCCGCCGTCGTCCAGCGCCGTTGCCGCTGCGGGGGTTGCCGCTGGTCGTCGTCGTCGTCGTCGTCGCCGTCGTCGAACGCCGTCGCCGCTGGCGCGACGCCGCGGTCGCCGCCGTCGTCGCGGGCGGCGTCGACCGTCCTCGGGGTCGTCGTCGAGGTCGTCGTCGTCGTCGTCGTCGTCGTCGTCGTCGTCGTCGTCGTCGTCGTCGTCGTCGTCGTGTCGTCGTCGTCCTCGTCGTCTCCGTCGTCGTCGCCGTCGCTGGCCAGGTCGTTCAATGTCGTCGTCGCCGAGCGTCGTCGGAGTCGTCGTCGCCGACGTCGACGTCGAGCGTCGCTGTCGCGGTCGTCGCCGAACGTTGTCAAGGGACGTCCAGGGGGTCGGCGGGCAGCATCTTCGAGGCGCCCTCGGGGGCCCCCTTCCGTAGACGGCTTCGACGGTGAAGTGTCGATGAGCGGTCCTGGGGCTCGACGCTCGGGCATTGAAATCCGAGGACCGCGGTGATGGGCGTCCAGAACGCATCGCGCCCCTGAGGAGGCTCTGGGGTCGATGAACACCGCTGCTGGATCCCAGCTCGAGCCTCTGCCGGCCGCTTGGAACGCTGGGGGTGGCCCCCCCCTTCGGCAAAGCTCAGGCGAGAGGAAGCTGGTGCAGACCCCCTCCAATTCCTCCACCCCTCTCCTCTCCTACGCTATCCGCTCCAATCTGCCATTACCTGCCATCTTTTCCTGTCCTCCCCCCTCCTCTCCCCCGCCCCGCGTCCCCAGCGCCCTCCACTCCCGTCCCCCTCCGCCCCCTCCCCTCCCTTCCTTCCCCCTTCACGGTGCCATCGCGATCACCCCTCCCCATCCTGCCTCCCCCCCCCTCTGTATCCCCTCCATTCCAGTCCTCCTTGCCCCCGCCGCCCCCTGCCCCCCCCCCCTCCCGCGGCGCCCACCCCCTCACTCCCCCTCGGCTCGGGCGCCCCCGGCGGCCGAGCCCCGCACGGGAGGGGACAGGGGACGGCAAGGAGCAGGAGGGGCGGGGTAGGGGCCAGGGGAGATGATGAGCGGGAGGATCGCACGCACACCAAAGGAGAAAGAGGAGGGAGGGGTTCGACGGTCCCGCCGAAAACCCCAGAAGGGGGGTCCATCGGAAAGGACTATGTTGCAACCGTAGTGCGGCTTCGAAACAACCTCATCGTGGGCCAGTGACGCCCCCCCGGGAAAAAACGCCACCTCCACATTCAGGTCGGACAGGGGATCCTACCCCTTTGCCTTGAGGCGGATGCCCACACCTCGAACCTCATCCTCGTTCAAGCCGAACGCTTGGAGGCTGATGGGCGGGGGGGGGGTACACGACAAGACAAGGGCACTTGCGAGCTAATAGTTCGGTATGTCTTTGCGGCCGAGCAGCGACAGCAGCAATGAATATGGGAAATAGGGGTAATGGCTCTATGAACGCTGGGAGAAGCGCATACCAGCGGCCATGCGGGGGGGAATCCTCTGGCCTGGGGAGGGGCCATACTTGGGGAAAAGTTGCCCCCTACGTAGCCATCCAGAGGCACCTCTCCCGTTAGAGCTGGATTGCGAGTGAAGGGGTCGCAATCCATTCAATCACTCACCTGATTCACTCGCTGCCTGACACAACCAGCCTGTCAAACAGCTTCTTCTAACATACCCTCATTAGAGGAGGAGGGAGTCCAGAAAGGGGAAGGAGACTCAACGGAAAAGAGCGGGAGGTCTCCTGGCATTCGGCGGACTTGGGAGGCCCTCTGAATTAGGGTCGTCATACTGAGCCTCAACTCCGCAGGGACCCCAGACGTATGAAACATGCAGAAGCTCCAGGTGCCAGCGCTGTATTTTAGAATTGGCCTGGGAGATCTGGACTGAAGGTTCTCTAAGGAGGCCTTGCCCTGGGTCCTTCACGCCCTTGCCGCCCTTCTTGTTGACCTGCTTCTTCACGTCCTCTTGAGAAAGCCCGATGCGCGCCAGCAGCTTGTCCGCGCCCCTCTCCATGGCTCCCCTCGGCGCCGACCCTGGCTTGAACGTGCCTTCTGGCGCTCGACCGCTCTGCAGAGTGCCTGGTGAAGACTGATATGGTCCTGGTCCGTTTCGTCCTTGACGTTGATCGTCTGCTGCGCTGGCGCCGCCATGAACTGGAACTTGTACATCTGCGGCTCTTGGTGTTGCCTTTTGTCGAAATAGCAGCCCCGAAGACGAAGAAACCGAACATGCTCCTGCAACATGCGCAGCGCTGCCTTGCTCATCTGAACTGCAGCGTTCCCGTAGTTCCTGAGTCGGGGAACACTCGCTCGGCAGGTCGTTCGCCTTCTTGACCAAATGGAAAAGCCGAGCCAAAAATATGTGCGCCCATGGCGGGCCAAGACTGTGACTGCTTCCTTGTGCCCCGTGTTGTAATCCTGGCCCGCTTTTTTGAATAATTGCCACAATGCCCGCCTTGGGCGGGACCAAACAACAAGTGCAACTGGCGCTGATAAACTCGGCCAGTTCACGACAATTCTGCAGCGCGAGGCGGCACAGGATGGCGATGAGTGCTGCGAGCACTCCTCCAGCTCCCTCTTTGTCTCGAAGTACCTCCTCTTGAAGTTTGGCTAGCTTGGTGTCTGAGCCCGCTGATGAGTCTGCCGGTGCCTTGCGCTTCCCCTTGGGCTCCATGAGCCAGTCTGGCGCTCCATGGCCGCCATCGCCGTCGTCCACGACAGGGGGCAGCGTGAAATGAAAACGAATATGCCACAACAAATCTGAAACGATGGCTTCTTGAGCCTCACATAACAACATTCAGGAGTAGATAACATGCTGGGCAGAAGTGTCGAACTGCTGTAATACACACAAGCTCCTGTCTTAAAGCCCTGGACAACATGCTTGTAGACCGAATTGATGGACTCGAGAACGCTCTCACAAACAAAGTACTGGTTGCAGAAGATTGCCAGCCCCAAGACCGAACGATGGCCGTGGTGATTTGGGAGATGGACCAGGAGCTGGCGCTTGCCACGGAAGGCTGTGGGGCACCCGCGGACTGGAGGAGGGGGGAGGAATAATACCGATTCTCACACATCCAGGCGGCGTGTCTCCATGTCCCCGTCGCTCGGGCGGACGTGCAGCGTTCCGTGGTGGACGGAGTCGGCAGCGAGAAGCATGACTGATGGGAGATGAAGAGGATCAAGAGACGAACGCCGGATCAATCGAGGACAGGTTGGACGAGCGAGGATCCGGATTCGCTGTGCACACAGAGCTGGTTGTATTCAGGAGGAGGAGGAGGAGGAGGAGAAGGAGGAAGAGGAGGAGGAAAAAGAGGAGGATCGGTTTCTGGCGCCCCCCAGGGCGACATTTTCCCGATACATCCAGCGATCGATCCCTCGATCGACGACGACAACGACGACGAGCGGTGGCGACGAGCCACGACGAGCGGCGACGACGACGACGAGGAGCGACGACGACGACGACCACGACGACGAGGAGCGGCGGCGGCGGCGACGAGCGGCGCGCGCGCGAGGCGGTCCGACGCTCTGCGGCGGCAGGCACTCGGCCACGGCGGCGAGGTGCCCCGCCTTGGGGGGGGGCGTCGTGAGGGGCAACGATAGGGGGGGACTGGCACAGGGGGGGATGCATCGACCTGGAATCGGCCATACATCGCCGATAGACCGGCGATAGGCCTCCGATAGTGAATCCGCACCCTCCTGGGCGGGATGGGCTATCAGACCCCTATCGGCGATCTGTGGGCGATTGGGGGTCGATGCATCCCCCCCTATGCCCATCCCCCCCTATCGTTGCCCCTGACGTCGGGCGAGGTCCCGTCACTGTGCCGCCCGCTCCGTGGCTCCGACGCGCAAAACGCGAGGCGGGGACCCAGACGTGCAGCGCTACGAACAAAAAGCATGGCGGACATTGCGCGTCGGTTTCGGCCTCTGGGGGCCCTCGCCTGGCCTCGGGGCCATTGTGCAGCTGCTCAGGACGAGAAGCCGGTCCTGGGGGAAGGGTCGGGCTGTCCTGGGACCGCGAATTGGACAAATCAGGACGACGCATGTCTGGAGACTTTTGCTCAGCGTGTCGCGGCGGCGGCCCGGGCGGCGACACGCTATTCCCAGCGAGCTGATAGCGTATCGCTCAGCTCCGCGGGGCGGGAGGCTGGGAAAGGCTCAGAAGCTGACGCTTGGAAATGGGGACGTGGATAGCGTACCTCATCGAAGCGCGGTGGGCTAGAACCGACAGGGCGACTCGCGGAGGCAAGGTTCCCGACCGTATCCTGATCTACCGCCTGGGGTGCAGATGTCCTGGGCCCCCTTTTCTTGGGCACCCGACGATGATGCAGCGACGAAGTGTCCCTTAAGCGTGACCCAGGGGCGTAACGACCCCCTGGCTATCGGCTACAGCCGACCGTCCCATGCGCACTGTGGTACCAGTGTTCAACACGAACGTACTGAGCGAGACCTGCTGACAACGCGATCACAAAAAAAAGAAACAACCAGGAGAAGCAAAAAGGAGAGAGCCGACATCAACATCGAAACGGATCGATCGAATCCACTTGGACGCTGCAAGGTCGACCAGCCGCCCTACCTGAACTGAAGTGCCCCCGCACAGCCGACTCGAGGTTGCCCTGAATCCTTGAGAGCGAAGACCACCCGAAAAAGCCGTGGGCGTGTTGAGAGGAGGTTGGGCCGAGGTGGCGTGGAGAGGCCATGGGGTCATCCCGTCCTCTTTTGCTTTCTCCCTTCTTTTACTCCCCTTCCGTCTCCTACTCCGCCGACTCTGACGCCGCCTCCTCCTGATCTGCTCACTCTTCCTGATCCCGTCATCCCCCTCCTCCTCCAGCAGCTCCTCCCCCTTCTTGTTCCCCTCCAAGATTGGGGGTTCCGGTGCTTGGACATTATTGGCCTTGCTTACGCCCCTGGAGCCCTCCCAGGACCCCCCCTCCTCCGTGTTCTCCTCCGTCTTCTCCTCTTCCCCTCCTCCTCCTCCTCCTGCTCCTCCTCCTCCTCCTCCTGCTCCTGCTCCTCCTCCTCCTCCTCCTCCTCCTCCTTCTCCTCCTCCTCCTTCTGCTCTTCCTCCCTCCCCCTCATCCTCCTCTGTCGCCTCCTGCTCCTCCTGCTCCTCCTGCTCCTCCTGCTCCTCCTCCTCCTCCTCCTCCTCCTCCTCCTCCTTCTCCTCTTCTACATCCTATGCTGCCCCCTCCTCCTCCGCCTCCACCTCCACCTCCACCTCCACCTCTTCCTCCTCCTCCTCCCCGAAGATCGAGAGTAGAAGTTTGCTGACCCCCGCTTGCTGCCTGTAGTGAGGAGGCGTGTGAGATGATTGGCTGCCCCCCTCCCCCTTTCCCCCTCCCCTGGGGCCAACCATGGCATTAGAGGGGGGGGGGGGCGCGCGGGGGGAGGCCGGGGTGCGAGGCGCGAGCTCGCCAACTCATCGCCCTCCTCATCGCCCTCGTCATCGCTTGTCGTCCTCGTCGCCCTCGTCTTCATGCCCCTCATGCCCCTCATCGCCCTCGTCATCGCTTGTCGTCCTCCTCCTCTTCCTCCTCCTCCTCCTCCCCCTCCTCCTCCTCCTCCTCCTCCTCGCTCCTGCTGCTCGACCTCGGACGACCCCCCTCCCCGAGGCTCTTTCGACAACCTCCAGCCGGCCAGCAGCAGGTCGGCCGCCTTCTCCATGCGCCGCGCCGCGGCGCCCCGCGGCGCGCCGCGCGCGCCGCTGCCGTGCCACGGCTCTCTGCAATGTCGTCGTCGTCGTCGTCGTCGTCGTCGTCGTCGTCGTCGTCGTCGTCGTCGTCGTCGTCGTCGTCGTTCGTCGCCGCCCTTTGTCGTCGTCGAGGCTTCGTTCGATGTCGTTGAGGACCGTCACGGACCATCGCTCGCCGCTGGTGCTCGTCGTCGTCGTCATCGTCGTCGATTTCGTTGGTCGTCGATGTCGTCGGACAAATTTCCGCAGTAATCGTTGTCGTGCTCGTCGCTTTCGTAGTCGTGCTTCGTCGTCAGCCTCATCGTAGTGCCGTTTCGGGGTCGCTGGAACGGGATTCGTCGTCGTGGCACGAGGGAAGCGGGCTCCAGAGAAAAGGGGCAAATCGTCGTCGGAGCAGGGGTCGTCGGCGGGCGGGAGGAAGGGGAGGACTCAAGGCAGAAGGGGAGGGAGGGGCGGAAAGGCGGGGTAGCAGGGAGGGATGGGGGAGTGAGGAGGGGCAAGGAGAGGGCGAGGAGGAAGGGAAGGCGGGAGAAAGGGGGGGAGTGGTGCACGAGGATACCCCCCACCTCAGCCCCACCCTCCTCCTCCGCCCCTCCCATTCTCTCCCTCATGCCCCTCATAACCCTCATCCTCGCTTGTCCTCTTTCTCCTCCTCCTCCTCCTCCTCCTCCTCCTCTTCCGCCTTCTCCTCCTTCTCCTCTTCCTCCTCGTCCTGCTCCGCTCTCCTCCCATTTCCCTCCTCACCTCCTCGCCTTCCATCCTCCTCCGCCTCCTCCCCACCCTCCTCTCGACTCTCGTCGTCCGCCTCCTCCTTCTCCTTCTCCTCCTCCACCTCCCCCCGCCCCCCCGCCCCCACCGACGGCGGCGGCGACCACGACGACCGCGACGTCCCCGCGACGACCGTGGCCCGCGGGAGGACGGGGAACCACCACGGCGGCGACGGCCCCTGAGGGGGCCCAGCGATCGGGTGCTCGTGAATTGGGCGTGGCTTCATGGGGGGGTCACAAATGGGGGGGGGTAGAAAAGGTCCCCTTTCGTGCCCCTTTCGGGCCCCTCCAGAGCCCCAGGGGGCTCGTTTAGGTACCGTTTGGGTACCTTTTCGAACCCCCCTCGCCACCCCCCCATTTATGACCCCCCCATTACGCAACGCCCAAGTGAACGGCAGGGGAGCAGGCGCCGGGTGAGGACACACGTGCACCTCTCGTGGACCTTCTGGGCCCGCGGTGGCGACCCCCCACGCTTATGGCCGCCCCGTTGCCGCCCGCCCCCCGTAAAAACGCGCATCGGGGGAAGACGGGAAGACTCCATCGGCAGCTCGACCCTCAACCGACCGACCGATCGAGCACGGCGGCAAGAGAGTCGTCCGAGTTGTCGCCTGACCGACCGATCGAGCACGGCGGCAGGAGAGTCGTCCGAATCGTCGCCTCTTCCATCAAGACCGGCGACGGCGGAGGCCGCTGCCGAATGCGGCCACGGCGAGCAACACAGCGCTGAAGGTCGACGACGACGATGACGACGACGACGAGGAAGTCGTTGGGAAATCGTCGACAAATCATAGGGACTCGACGACGACGATGACGACGACGACGACGGCGGCGACGGAAACCGTCGGAGAGCGTAGGCGCAGCCAGGGGGGGCCCAGCGCCGATCCAAGAAATCTGGGCGGAGCACGGAACAATCATGCTATGCCGTCCGCCTCTTGCGCCTCGAGAAATCGTCGACGACGGCGGAAACCCTCGAAGATCGCCCGAGCATCGTCGACGAAGTCGGCCACGGCAATAGGTGGCGACCTCCGAACCCGAACCCCAGCAACCATCGATTCCCGTGAATCGATGGGAGGCGGGGGTAGGGCTCGGACTTCGCCACGTGCTCGACGCGTTTCCGAACCCGACACTTTTTGATCTGCGGCTCCAGGGACGATTCCAGAGAGCGGGCCGTCCGAACCCGACCCGCGCCGCCCCTCGACTTGCCCGAGTCGTTGTTTGGCGACGGCAGGGCTCGGATTTCGCCGCCGAGGCCTCCTCCTCCTCCTCCTCCTCTCCTCCTCCTCCTCCTCCTCCTCCTCCTCCTCCTCCTCCTCCTCCTCCTCTCCTCCAGGGGGCGGGCGGGCGCGGCGGGCGGCGGGCGGCCGCGCGCGCGCGGCGGCCCGCGCGCGCCGCTCCGCGGGGGCCGCCCGGCCTTGTGCAGCTCCTCGTACCGGCGCCGGGCGGCCTGCCTCTCGATCTCCTGGGGCGGCCGGGCTGGGGGGGGGGGGCAGGGGAGGGAGGGCGGAGGGAAGAGGATGGGGAGGGGGAGGGGGGGGGGAGGGGAAAGGGGACGAGGGAAGGGGGAGGGGGGGGCGGCCGGGCTGGGGGGGGGGGGCAGGGGAGGAGGGCGGAGGGAAGAGGAGGGGGAGGGGGACGAGGAGGGGGATGGGGGGGGGGGGAGCAAAGGGAAGGGGGGGGCCCTCCTCTGGCTCCTCGGCCTCCTGCCCCTCTTTCCTCCCATCACTTCTTCTCTTCTGTTTCTCAAGCCTCGTCCTCACTCCTCCTCCTCCTCCTCCTCCTCTTCCTTCTCCTCCTCCTCCTCCTCCACCTCCTCCTCCTCCTCCTCCTCCTCAATAACCTTCTCCTCCTGCTCGTGCTGATGCCATGCCTCCTCCGGCTCTTCTGGCTCCTCCGGCCCCTTTTGGCTCCTCCTCCTCCTCCTCTTCCTCCTCCTCCGTGCGGCGTCCGGATTTTTTCAATACGGCGACCCCAAGTCCCGACCTTTTCCCTGGGATCGGCTTTTCGTCCCGACTCGTTTTGTAACGGTTCCATGGCCTGGCGATGACCCCCAGAGGCCGAAAATAGAGAAAAAACTCCCGTCGCGATCTTTTCACAACGCGAGGGGGTCTGGGTCTGGAACGGATTTGTCCTCGTCATGGACCGTCCCGCCCCCAACCATTCAAAGGAGGGGGACGACGACGAAGGACGACGAGGACGACGACAACGACGAGGACGCTCGGGAACGGATTTGTCCTCGTCCTGGCCCGTCCCGCCCCCAACCATCCAAAGGAGGGGGACGACGACGAAGGACGACGAGGACGACGACGGATTTGTCCTCGTCCTGGCCCGTCCCGCCCCCAACCATCCAAAGGAGGGGGACGACGACGAAGGACGACGAGGAGGACGACGAGGGACGACGAGGACGACGGAAAACGACGAGGACGACGACGAGGACGACGACGACGAGGACGACGACGACGAAGGACGACGAGGACGACGAGGGACGACGAGGACGACGAGGACGCCCCGGAACGGATTTGTCCTCGTCCTGGCCCCTCCCAAGGGGGGCGGGCGGCAGGCGCGCCGCGCCTCCCGCTGCTTCCGGGACAACTCCACGCCCTCCTTCACCTCTCGGCGGGGAGCCCGGGGGGGGCGTGAGAAAGGGGAGGAGGACGAGGACGAGGGCGAGGACGAGAAGGAGGAGGAGGAGGAGGAGGAGGAGGAGGAGGACGAGGACGAGGATGAGGAGGAGGAGGAGGAGGAGGAGGAAGAGGAGGAAGAGGAGACAAATCGAGGAGGAAGAAGAAGGAAGACCGAGGAGGAGGTGGAGGAGGAGGAGGAGGAGGAGGAGGAGGACAGAGAGGGAGAGAAGGATGACGAGGACGAGAAGGAGGATGATGACGAGGACGAGGGAGGAGGAGGAGAGGAGGAGGAGGAGGAGGAGGAGGAGGAGGAGGAGGAGGAGGAGGAGGAGGACGAAAAGGAGGAGGAACACGAGTGAGGACGAGGGCGATGAGGGGCATGAAGGGAAAAGGGAAATATCAGGGAAAAAAAAGGCGGGCTTTCTCGGAAGACTCGGCAGTCCTCCGGCCTTCCGAGAAGTTTCTCTGAGCCTCCCCGGAAGACACAGGAACCTCCTCGGAAGGCGCGAAACCTTCTGAGAACCCCCACGGCCTTCTCCTTCTGAGACGGCCTTCTGAGAGAAACGTGTCCTGGAGCCTGAGGCCTTCCCCCAGGACGAACTCTTCATCCTGAGTCGTTTCCTGACAGTCCCGGGGCCCGTGGAGGGCCCCGACAATCCGAAAACGGCGAATAACCTCAGGTCCCACTTCCCTCAAGACCCGTTCCCTCAATGGCAAGCGCCTCGTCCCGCTTCACGGCGTTGGGGTTCTCGGTGGCGATGAGCCCCTGCACCCTGGCCGCCGGGCGCTTGCGCGCTTGCGTGCGCGCGGAGGAGAAGCCAGAGAATCGAGGAGGAGGAGGAGGAGGAGGAGGAGGAGGAGGAGGAGGAGGAGGAGGAGGAGGAGGAGAAGGATCGAGGAGGAGGAGGGGGAGGAGGAGCAGCAGCAGCAGCAGAAGCAGCATGAGCATGAGCAGCAGGACGAAGACGAGGACGAGGAGGAAGGAGGGAGGTAGGAGGGAGGAGGGAGGAGGAGGAGGAGGAGGTGGAGGAAGAGCAGAAGAAGCAGCAGCAGCAGGAGCAGGAGGACGAGGACGAGGAGGAGGAGGAGGAGGAGGAGGAGGAGGAGGAGGAGTTTTATCCAGGCGCGGCCGAAGGCGTGCGAGCAGGGCTGGCGACGCAGACGGACTCGAGGCGAGCTCAACCAAGAAAGGGAAACTCGGGCACCTCCCGCTGGGGAGTGCCACGCGAGCGAGGGACAGGAAGCTATCCGTCCGCCTCGACGTGCTCGCCCTCCACGACGAAGACCACCGCAGGTGGCGCCGAGGACGTGCGCACCGATCGGGGGGGGGGGGCTTCAGCTGCCCCCTTGGAGGCGGTTGCAGAGGCAAGCCAGTGCGAGGGGGGGAGCCCTCCCACAGGCGGTCCAGCTTGGGCCGCGCCTGTGGGCGCACCCCACCACGGCAGGGACGCAGCAGATGCCGTGCGTTGTCCTTCGGAGGGGAACCGCACGCAACACAAAAAAACAAAAAAAAAAATATAATAAAACACATTTTTTTTAATAATAAAAAAAAAAAAAAAAAAAAAAAACAGCGGGGCCCACGCTCCACACCCCACGGGCCCCCCTCCAGGGACGCACGCCCGCCGGAGGAGCGACGGCGCCGCGGGGCGGGGCACGGGCGAGGCGCAAGCAGCGAGCGCACCGGAAGCCCACGTGGCATGGCAGAGGCTCGTGCGAGCCGGGGGGGCGGGGCCGAGTCCGACGAGAACGCGCGGGGCCGGCGCTCCAGCGCCACCGCGGCCTTCTCCTCCTCCCCCTCCCCGTCTTCAGGTTCGGTGTGCGAGCGGGGCAAGGCGCGCCGCGGCGGGCGGCCCCGGGGCGCCCCGCCCCCCCCCCCCGCTGCTGCGCACGCCGCAGATCTCAGGAGTGGCAGGGACCGTCCTGGAATCAGGATCGTTCCAATGGCTGGTCTCGGAGTTCCAGGGCGAACGACAGTGTTTGCACCAGGACCACGACCATAGATTTCTGCGACAACCGCGGGCCCCACAAACCCAACGTTTCTTCTGTCCTCCATGCTTGTCCCCTCCGACTATGTCGCCATGTTGAAGGCCTGCTGCGAGAGGAAGAGATTCGGAGCGTCTGGTGCCTGCCGTACGCCTCCACCGAGACGTGTTGCCACCGCCGCCGCCGCCAGAAGGAGGAACCTCAGAAGGCTGCGCCATGGCTGAGGGCTCGATGGGCGAAGGATGGTTGGAACGGGCGCAGGCGCCACCTGCGCAGTGTAGGCTAAGCTGTGCAGGCGCCCCGCAGGGAAATGAGTGGAGCCAGACGGCACAACCAGACTGCCACGCAACTTGGCAACAAAGCCCGAGTCCTCCAGCAAGGGTGGCTCCAAACTGTGGTCGGCTCCACACACGAAAGGACCCTCGTGCATGGCCAGAAACATACCCAAACGAGAGGATGTCGCGATTTCGATATGATAACTCTTCAGAGTGGAACAAGTACAAGGAGGCAACAAGGAAGGAGGGGCAGCAAGGGAGAATCATATAAACAACAAAACGTCTTCCCTCCACAACATTCCCTCCCTGCTCATCCATGAGATCAAGCCACGCACGGACAAACATCGCAACACCAGCAGAAGTGTCTCCAGCTTCCGTGGGCTGAGCTTCTGACCAGACAGACTTCCAACCTCGCTTGAAGCCCCAAGCACTGGTAACTTCAACTGTCCGATCCTCGCAAACGACGTTCCCGACACAGAATCACATGGGCCTCAGGGTAACCCTCGAGTAAGTCCTTCCTGGTTCCCCAGGAGTTGCAGTTGATGGTCCGAATGTCAAGCTCAAACTCGCTCGGCTCTGGATTCTGAGGAACGCCAGCCGCCAAAACAGAGGACGGCAGAGTCAGAGAGACGGAGCCAGCAGAGCAGGCACACGGGGCCTGTCGCGGGGCAGCCCCGGCACAAGACCCAATCCAAAAAGGGTCCTGAGAGCGAACGTTCCGAGTGAATTGAGCAAATTGTGGGGACTATGGGGACCTGGGAGAGGGGGCCAACAACGACTTCCCTTCCCCAAGGCTCTCCCGCAAGATCGGAGAGTTGCCTCCGCTGGGGGCTGCGAACCTGGAGACAGGATCGGCCAGCGGCAGCTCAAAGCACGACACCGAGTGCAGGCTCGCATTGCCGACCCTGTCGCAGAGAGTCAGGACAGGGTACAGCAGCGCAAGCAGCGAGAAATCGACCGGGGCCGAACTGCTGAGACGAGTGCCTGGAGAGCTCAGGGCCAGCGCGTCGCAACGCAGACGAGAGCAGCAGCGCTTCGGCTCTGGCCAGGAGCGCGGTCCGGCGCATCCTGGCCGACTTGGCTAAAGCTTTGACTCCAGCACTCTTGGCTACACGTGTGAAGCCCCTGCGGCTCCAGAGTCGAATCTGGGCCAGCGGCGCGGGGAGGAGGATCGGGGGCGAGGCGGGAGGAGGCTCGAGGGCAAGGAGCGGGGACAGAGGACCGAGGAGCAGGACGGGGAAAGGTCGGAGGCTCTAGGTTCCTGAGCGCTTTGGTCCGTTTGGGGGCCTCTGGAGGCCTCTGGGGCCCTGGGGACCTCTGAAGCCTCCTGGCCCTGGGGGCCTCTGGAGGCCTCCGGGGCCCTTGGGACCTGGGGGCCTCTGGAGGCCTCCTCCTCTTCCTCTTCCTCTTCCTCCTCCTCCTCCTCCTCTCCTCTCCTCCTCCTCCTCCTCCTCCTCCTCCTCCTCCTCCTCCTCCTCCTCCTCTTTCTCCTCCTCCTCCTCCTCCTCCTCCTCTTTCTCCTCCTCTTTCTCCTCCTCTTTCTCCTCCTCACCGTTATCCTCCTACTGCCCTTCCTCCTCCCCCCCCCTCCCCCCCTGCTACTCCACCCGCTTCCTCCCCCGCACCCCCCCCCCCTTTTGCTGCTCCATCCGCCTCATCCTCGCGGCGGCGGCGGCGGGGCGGGGGTCCCGCTCTGGCCCCTGGGTTTCTGCACCGCCTGCTGCGGCTCCTCCTCATCGGACTCCGCCTGGAAAGGCGCAGCGGTGGGCTCCCGCGTCGCCCACTAGCTCCTCCGCCCCGCTGCTGATGATGGTGCTCCCGCCCCTCCTGGTTGTCGTCCCCCGCTCATCCACAAGCTTCTCGGCGCTTCTTCATCATCCTCCTCCTCCTCCTCCTCCTCCTCCCTCCTCCTCCTCCTCCTCCTCCTCCTCCTCCTCCTCCTCCTACTCCTCTTCCTCCTCCTCCTACTCCTCTTCCTCCTCCTCTTCCTGCCTTCGCTGTTGCTGGTGGCGGTGATGTCGCTCAGGCTTGCCTCCCCCCCCCCCCGGCGGTCGCCCCCGGGGGGGGGGGCTCAAACCAGGCTGCCTGCCGACTATAAAAGAGGCCGTCTGGGGTGCGAGGCAGGCCCGACGCGGACCCTGGAGGCAGCGACCACTCGCGGCGAGAGCGGGTTGCCGGTCCACGGCCGCCGTGCCCTTCCCTCCCCCCCCCAAAACTCGCCCTTCCCTCCCCAGCCCTCATCCTGGCCTCACGCAGGGGGTGCGCCCGTGCCACGGGCGCGCGCCGAGGAAGAGGAGGGGGGAGGCAAGGGAAGTCCATCGAGGAGCGAAGGAAGAGAGAGGCTGAGCGCGCTGCCAGTGGTGGTGTTCTCGCTAACGGACCGTTCGTTGGTTGGGGGTCCGTCAACGGTGTTCGCGCTGAGCGTGGCCCGCGACGAAAATGAGCCGTCGGCGGTGGAGCTCTCGATGAGCGCGGCTCCGGCTGATGCTGCTGGGGTTCTGGGGCCCTCTGTGCTACTGAGATGGGCGGGCGAGAGCCATAACAGCAGCGAGCAAGGAACGGTGGGACATCGTCACTGTCGCCGGAGCAATGCAGTGACACGATGATGATGACAGGGCTGGCATTGCAACTGCAAGTTGCGAGCCTGCGGCGCTCGAGCTGGGAACGCCACGCAGACCTCCGTTTTCGCTCATTCGCTGGCCGGGTCGCGCCTGCACGGCTGCGGCCCACCTGTCGGATTCAAAGCTCGTGGCCACTCCCCCCGTCCCCACCCTGAGTCCCAAACCCTATCGGCCAGCAGCGCGGAGACCCCAGCCCGGAGGGAGGGAGACGAGGGCGATGAAAGGGGAGGAGGGGAGAGAAGATGTGAGGAACGTCGCCGTCGACAGCAGTCTTGCAACAGGACGGCTGTTGCAAACCGTGTTGGCGCCCGACTCACGTTAGATCATTCCCCAGACGAGTCGCACCGCCACGGCTGCGGCCGCGGCCAACCAATCTGGTTCAGAGCTCGCAACCAAGCCTTCTCCACCTCCCACCAGATCCTCCAAGGCCCCATCCTCTTGCGTTGGCGAGGGCAAAAGCCCAGTGAACACGTAGCTGGGCAAACGCTGTGGGACATCGTCACCGCCGTCGGAAAATCACGTGGCACGATGGCTGAGACAGGGCTGGCGCTGGCGCTGGAGGTTGCGAACCCGCGGCCCCCGCTGGGGAATGCAGAATGAATCTCATGTTGCATCATTCGCTGACCAGGTCGCGCAGTGCGGTTCAGAGCTCTTTACCAACCCTCCCACCCCCTGTCCCGCCCTGGAGCATGCTCCAAAGCCCCCTCCTCCTGCCCGGGACAAGGCGGTAGTCCAATTGACAAGTAACTAAGCAGGCGCGATGTGGCATCGCCACCGTCGTCGGAAAGATCCGGAGGCGCGATGGCTCTGGCAAAGCTAACGTTCGCACTGAAGGTTGTGAACCTGCGGCGCTCAATGTGAGAATGCCGAGTGGCTCTCACGTTAGTCCATTCGCTGGCCACCAGGTCGCGCCGACACGGCTGCTGCCGCCCAGTCTGGTTCAGAGCTCGTCGACATTCCACAAGCACCACCACCCCCCGAGTTTCGATCCCCATCAGCCAGCGGCGCGGGCGAAGGGAGCGAGGGGGCTGCCGGACGACGGCCGCGGAGACGACGGAACCCGAGGGGAGGGGGAACGAGGATGAGAAGCCAAGGCTTGAGATTTGGGAGGCCGAGTGGAGGTGCAGAGAAAAAAGAGGCGCGCGTCGATGGAGGGAAAAAGGTTTGAACACGCCCTTTAACGAGTGCTCATCACAGCTGCACTGAGTCGCATGTCCCACAGCACTTTACCACCCCTGTGATCCACGGCATTCAGGGCAGACTCAACCTCCTTGTCGGTGACCACAGCCCTGTCGTCGGTTACTCGGATGGCGGTGGTCGGGCCGAAGCGGGAGAAGATGGCTTGGACGCCGGAGATGTCCAGCTCTTCGCTGCAAACCAAGCGATCGTGGCGCCGGCGTGGTTCGCCTCGGCGCTGGCGTCCGCGTTGGGCTCGAGGCTGCTGTCGGCGTCGGCGGCAGTGTTGGCGCGGGCGCTGGCGCCGGCGAGCAGATCCGCAGCCTTCTCGGGCCCCGCCTCGGGTAGGCCCTCGCCAGCGGCAGCGCCGCCCGCTGCTCCACGGGGGGTTCTCGCCCGCACGGTCCCCGCAGGCGTGCTCTGGGTGGTCGTGGCCGCTGCTCCCCTAGGGGCACTCGCCAACACTGACGCCGCAGGCCCTAGGCGTACTCACGGCGACGGCAATTGCTGCTCCCCTAGGAACTCTCGCCGGCACTGGCCCCGGAGGCGTGCTCTCCGCGGCGCGGGGTGCAGTCCGGCGTGGCGCATGACCCGCTGAACCCAGCGCCGCCGCCGTTGGTTTGGAGGTGACCTCGAACCGTTGTTTGGTTCTTTCCCCCGACCCTGTCGGGTGGCGCCGAAGGTGCGCATGTCGTATAGAATGACTGTGCGAAGTCTGCGCCGATGGTTGGGATGGACGGCGGCAGCAACAGCGGCTCGGGACCTGGTACGAGCCAGAGCCGGGGCTGTTTCAGCACGAGCTGTCACATGCCGTGGAAGCATTCAGGACGATAGGCGCGTGGTGGGTGCAACATCCAGGTGGTGCTGACGGGCCAACGGTGGCGTTCTGCTCGACCTGGACGACGATGTATTCGCCCTTGTGTTGATGGCCATTCTGTTCGAAGGTGCGCATCAAAATGCCAATGTCACTCGAAAGGTACGTCCTGCCTGCCTGCGCGCGGCGTAGCCCAACCGGGCGAATGCTGCCCGGACACGTCACGGCTCATGAGAGCCAGAGTTCATCTCGTGAGGCGAAGCGGAGCGAAACGAAACAAAGCGAACGCCCGAATCGTGCGTGCTCCTCTGGGGGTCCGCCCATGCCCAGAAGGGTATGCCGGTATGCCGTGGAGGCCGTGGCCTCGACAGGGACGATCTCCTATTCAGGCTTTTGAAGCGCATGCCTCTCCGTGCACCAAGCGGCCCAGATCCATCGTGGGTCGCTCGTGTTGCTGTGCTCGTATTGTCGCGGAAGAAGGAGATGGTGTGGATGGCGGGGAACCGCGGACGCCAGAGACCTCGGTCGCGGGCGCCCAGTCAGCCATCTCACGCCGCGCCTGGGTGCTGCCCGTTCGCCCTGCGGCAAGGGTGGGTTAGGGCGAGGCGCCTTGAGCCAAAATGGCTACGGACATCTTCTTTTTTCCTATCTCCTCCTCCTCCTCCTCTTCCTCCTCCTGCCTCCTCCTGAACGGAGGAGGAGAAGGAGGAGGAGAAAGAAGAAAACCGAACCAGCCGAACCGGAAAACGTCGGCCGAACCAAACCTGTCAAACCAAACCGAACCAGCCGAACCGGACCGGCCGAACCGGACCGGCCATTTGACTCGAACCAGACCGGCTGGACCGAACTGGACGGAGATCTGAATCGACCGAAGGCGGGCCGAACTGGACCGAACCGAAACGAACCAGGGCCATCATGTCCTTTGGGTCCACGTGCTCCTCGGTGTCATTTTCTCCTCCAAGCAGGGAAGTTTGTAGAACCTTGCCCTCGTTTTTCCTGCTCCCTATCTTCCTCGGCATCCCCAGGTTTATCATCTGCCTCATCTTCGTCACCAGCATCGTCACCATCACCACCATCAGACAACGACCATCATGCTCATATTCATCCTCATCCTCGCCCTCACCTTCACCCTCACCCTCACCCTCGAACTCACCCTCACCTCACCCTCATCATCACCATCACCATCATCATCACCACCATCATCGCCATCATCATCATCATCATCATCATCATCATCATCACCATCACCACCATCACCACCATCATCACCACCATCAACAGCAACATCGTCACCGTCGCCGTCACCATGACCCCCATCATCATCATCATCATCATCATCATCATCATCATCATCATCATCATCATCATCATCATCATCGTCAACATCATCATCGACATCATCATCATCAGCATCATCATCATCATCATCATCATCATCATCATCACCATCATCGTCAACATCATCATCATCATCATCATCATCATAATCATCATCATCATCATCACCATCATCACCATCACCGTCAATGTCATCATCACCACCACCATCATCATCACCATCACCAGCCAAAATCGTCGTCATCATCATCATCATTATCACCATCAGCATCGACGTCATCATCATCATCATCATCATCATCATGATCATCATCATCATTATCATCATTATTATCATACATCCTCCTCATCATCACACCCATCATCCTCATCATCCTCATCATCATTATCATTACCACCACCATCACAATCACCGTCAACATTATCATCAATAGCACCAGCATCGTCAGCATCGACATCAAAGACCTGATCATCATCAGCATCAGCATAAGCATCAGCATGACCATAAGATTGAGCATGAGTATGAGCATGAGCATCATCATCATCATCAGCATAATCACCATCACCATCACCATCATCATCACCATCGCCATCATCATCAGCATCGTCATCATCATCATCAGTGTCAGCATCATCACCATCACCGTCACCATCACCACCATCACAACCATCATCATCATCATCATCATCATCATCATCACCATCGCCATCGCCATCACAATCATCATCATAATAATAATCATCGTCATCAGCATCATCAGCATCGACATAATCATCATCATCATAAGCATCATCATC